GCAATTTTCTAAATTGCTGTTGTGGAACAGAAACCCGTGACAGGGTCTGTAAACCACGAGCTCATTCATGGGAATCCTGGAGTTTTATCCAAGCGAATGTCAATACTAAGTTTGATATACACTTGTTCAAGCACATAGAGAAACAGCTGAATCATCTTTCCATTCTTCCTAGAAGATGGATCTGCAAAATCTTGACGAGGTAATGAAGAGAAGGTAGCCCAATACAGCCAGCAAAAGCATTAAAGAGCGCTGTCAGCTGGTTTAGAAATGCATGCCTGTAGTCCCAGCTACGCAGGAGGCTGAGGCAGGAGGATTCCAAGTTCAAGTCCAGCCTGGGCAACTCAGCCAGACCCCATCTCAAAATTAAAAAATTAAAAGGGGATGGGGATGTAGATCAGTGTTCCCTGGATTCAATTCTTAGCGCACCCCCCAACAAATGAGACGTCTAGCAGTTAATTCATACCTTATTTTTATAAAGTTTTGATGCTTGTGGGGCTTACATTTTTCACAACAGATCATATATTATAAAGATATTTTAAAATACTACGTAAGTATAAATAACACAGACGTAGTCCAATGGGTTAGGAAGATAGCTAAGTGGGGGGGGGAATCACCTGCGCCCCAGACCTCACCCCTAGGTATCTATCCCCTCTTTCCCCAAACCCCTCCTTTCCTCCCACCTCTCTCCCCAGACCTCTCCTCTGCCCCGCAGCCCTCCGCTCCCCCGCACCCCGCTTCTCGGAGACCCCAGGCCGCAGGCACCTTGCACGGACCAGACGTCGCGCTCCACACGTAGCCCGCGGCGGCCGGCGCGTCTCCTAGGAGCGGGCGCGGATTGGTCCGCATCCACGAAAGGGCTCGCCCCTCCAGCTATTGTCCAATGGGAGTCGGGGGCGGGGCCGCAGCGAGGACGCCGGAAGCGGGGAGGCGACGGAGGGACGTCGCGTCGCTGCGCCAGGTCTAGAGCAGCTGCCGGAGCCGCGGGAGGGAGCGCTGCCGCCGCGCCATGGCCGAGAGCGACTGGGACACCGTGACGGTGCTGCGCAAGAAGGGCCCCACGGCCGCGCAGGCCAAGTCCAAGCAGGTGTCTGGCCGGCGGGGCGGCCGGGCCGGGCCGGGCGGGGCCTTGGGCACAGGCGGCGGGGCTGGGGACGAGGGGCAGGGCCGTGACGGAGACCGTGGGGCGGGAGCCTGGGGGCCGGCGGGGCGGGGCAGGGTGGGACCAGGGGTCCAGGGTTCCAGGGCTGGGGGCCGGCGGCGGGGCTGGGCAAAGGCCGCGGTGGGGACAGGTGTGGGGCAGAGAACCGAGGTGCGAGCGGGGCCCGGGGCGGGCCGCCTGCTGAGGCTCCCCCGGCCCGCAGTGGCTGCTGTGCCGGCCTCTGCTGGGGCTGCTGCCCACGGAGCCCACGGGGCGCTGTCCGGCCCGGTGCGGACTCGGCTTCGGCGGCAGGAGGCAGTGGTGTGGGGGAGGCCGCTGGCAGGTGCCCTGGAGCCACGCAGGCCAGGGGCCCTGGAGACCGGCTCGTGACCAGCCCGGGTTGGCAGTTGTGCCCGGATTCCTTCTCTCTTCCGGGGACACTGCATAGCCACAGCCCCGGAGTCGTTTGAGCTGACTGGGAAGCGACTCTGCACCTCGGGTGAAATGCCCACAAGTCGCCTCTCTGAAGTGTTAAGCGCATCAAGAAACAGGGTCTGTTCCGCCTCGGTGACCTGGAGCCGTCACTGGTGTTGGTCACGTTTCCCGGGAGACCGAAGGCGTCCGCGGGCTGTCATTTCTGTCTCATTAGGGAGGCGGCCAGGCCAGGACGGCTGGGTTTCTTCCTGATTTTGCAGGAGGCTTCGATGTAGCAGTGTAAGTCTGTGTCAGACCCGGAGTTCTAGAAGAGTCCCGAGGTCTGTCTCAGTGTAGAAGCAGCAAGTTGCCTGGTCACTCGCGGGGGTTCTGTATATGTGGTCCTCTGGTGTTCAGGGCTGCCTGAGTCTGGGTCCTACCAGGCCCTAAGTGCTTTTTCTTACTCGGACACTTCCGTGACAGTATTAACGTGTGCATTAGTCACTGTCCATGTAAGAGAGGAACAGCAGTGATGAGAGAGCATGGTTGTGACGCTGTACTGTGATAAATGTGAACTCGGTCTCTGCTGGTACTGTCACCCTCACCCTGGTGACAATGCGGCGCCTGTGGCAAGGTGTGGAGATCTGGCGGGACTGTGAGGCTGGATCAGGCAGTGGTGTGCACCCAAACACAAGCACCCCATAGCAGTGCCACTGCCGTGACCCCACGTCAGCCTGGGGACCGAGATGGCTGCTCAGTGAGGAATGGGCAGGCGGCGTCCACAGCGTGGGTATGATTTGCATCCTGAGTGGCACACCATGAGGAACAGCAAGAGACTGCGCCATACTTCTGCAAACATGAACAATTTGAAATTTATGCATTTTTTATTTCTAGAATTTTCCATGTAATATTTTTGGACCGACCAATCCCTGAAACCGTCGAAAGTGAGACCCGGATAGAGAGGGGTGGGCTGTCAGGCAGCAGCCATAAAGCCCAGCCCTGTGCATCTTCAGGCCCCTGGCAGTGTGCTGACGCGTCTGCAGGACACTGCCAAAGCTAATTGTCATCCAAATGCATGTTCTCGTCTTCTAGGCCATCTTAGCAGCTCAGAGACGAGGCGAAGACGTGGAGACCTCCAAGAAATGTAGGTACACACAGGAAATGTCCTGTTTCCACTTGCAAACTAGGACGTGCTGTGGGGTTGTCTGCCTTGAGTGTGGTTGGGGACCTCTGTCAGAAGTCACGGACAGTATGGAGGTGGCAAAATCTTGCTGGCACAGCTCTGGGCTGCGTGAGGTCAGCAGGACCGGATCTCCCATCTGCCCCCTGGCTGAGAGCGGACTCTGGGACTGCTCTTGTGCTGTGGCTATGGGGCAGCCCGGTTTGGTCATGCCAAGCCTGGAGCTGTCAGCCAGGTAGCTGCTCTGAAACCATTTTCCCTCACATTAACTGCAGACTCCTCTGCTCTGTGCGTTCCACCTCCAGGGGCTGCTGGGCAGAACAAGCAGCACTCGATCACCAAGAACACAGCCAAGCTGGACCGGGAGACAGAGGAGCTGCATCATGACCGGGTGACCCTGGAGGTGGGCAAGGTGATCCAGCGGGGCCGGCAGAGCAAGGGGCTGACGCAGAAGGACCTGGCCACGGTGAGGCTGCTGTGGCACCAGGCTGGGGAGGGTGGTGGCGGGAGGGTGGTAGGCTTCTGGCTGGGGGTAGGGGCTGTAGCCCGAGGCCTGCGGGCAGCCAGGTCAGAGCAGCTGTGGCATGAGCCTCAGCTGCAGTGGGTGGGATCCCAGCCTCCCAGGAGCCGTGTCCCTCTGGCCAGCGCGTCTAAGGGACACCTTGTCTTCAGAAAATCAACGAAAAGCCGCAAGTCATCGCAGACTATGAGAGTGGGCGGGCCATTCCAAATAACCAGGTTCTGGGCAAAATTGAGCGAGCCATTGGTGAGTGTCCCTGGCCGTCTCGGTGGGGTGGTGCCCTCCTGAGTGGGCCCTGCGGCTGGGGTGTTGTCCACCTTTGGCTTCTCAGGGGCACTGTGGGTCCTCAGAAAGCAGGGTTGCGGGCCCTGTGCCACAGTCCCCTGCTGCAGCGGCCCCACGGCCCCACGGCCCCACGGCCCCACGGCCCCACGACGTGGTCTGCAGAGCTCACGCCGGCTTCGCTGGGAAATCGCTCACTGCCTGCCTTCTCGACTCACCAGCTCGCAGCACTCGACTTCGACTGGGGCTGCTGTGGGAAGGAGCCTGCCGGGGACAGGGTGGACGCCCGCACCCTGGGGCCGATGGGCACAGCTGCAGCGTGGTCAGTGGCCTCTGCCCTCTTTCAGGCCTCAAGCTCAGGGGCAAGGACATCGGGAAGCCCATCGAGAAGGGCCCTCGGGCGAAATGAGCACAAAGCCTCGAAACAGCGCGTTCCGGCTGAGCCTCCCGGCTGGGTCCCCGACACCAGCACAGATGTGGCCGCCTAGTGCAGCCCTGCGGAACACAGGGTCAGGCCCGCAGCCGACCTGCCCTGCTGTCAAACAAAGAGAACCCTTGCTAAGCCTGCCTCCCAGCTCTTTCCTCCGGCCTCCTGCCCTCGGGTCAGGACGTGCAGTGGTACCTTCTCCCGTGTGCCACCTGTTGGCACTTGCAGCTTGAAGCTGGGGCGTTGCAAGGCCACCTCGCCAGGAGGGGGTGGCTTTTAGGGAGGCTGGGGCCACACACCCTTCCCCTGGGCCTCTGGCCTCCTCCTGGCGCTGGGCCACAGTGGAGAGGACAGAGTGGAGCTGCATGACAGATGCCCCAGACTTGGAGTGAGTCCTTGCCTTCAGGGGTATTCCTGCCACCCACCTGCCCAGACTCTGGGCATCAGCCAGCCTGGCACCTGTGACCCAGGCTGGTACTGGCCATGACCCCTGCCGCCCTCCTCAGCTGGTGGCACAGGTAGGAGCCCAGCATAGCTCCTTGGTGGGGAGAAGGCAGCGCCTGGCTCACCAGGCGGGTTGGCCCCTCCACAAGACAGCCCTGAGGTGCTGTGGGTGTCACAGCTGCAGGACCCGCACCTGGGGCTGTGGCAGCAGTGGACACCTTGCTTGCTTAGGCCGATCCTGTCCACACATGCACAGCAGGCAGTGTCCCCTTCGGGCTCTCCTGTCACCTGCTCAGAAGTGCTGTGGGACACTTCAGCACAGCAGCTTTCACCCTGGACAGCACCGCCGCCCCCCCAGTGGCCTGACACCCCCCAGGGACCCTGCACTCGGGGGGTGACTCCCATCAGTGGGTGCAGAGTCCGCGCACTGGGGCCCACGGCTGTCTGTGGGGAGGGTGCCCCTGTGCCGGCCTGGCCCTGGGTCTGCCTGCGTCGTCACCTGAGGCCTGTGGGTCTCAACTGCGCTGAGAAGCAGGGAGGGGCTGCACACTTCCCTCTGGCAGCCTGAGGCCAGGACGGACACGCTGACCCAGCCTGAGAGTCACGCTGCCCTCAAGGACATGGGTGTTTATTCACAGGGCAGGGACCCCAGCCATGCCATTGGGTGGGGAGGCCTGGGCTGCCCAGCCTTGGAGGGTGTGAGTGCAGTCTAGGCCCAAAGTGGCAGGTGAGGTGTCGCACGAGGGGCCAGGGCCCGGACTGGTGATCTATGGGTCGCTGGTGACAGCTGCAGGGAGGGTGACTTGATCCTAGAAGAAAGGAGGGGCTTCGTGACCTCAGCAGAAGAGGTGGGGCCTTGTAGCCCAGCCCCCTCTCCTGGGGCTCCTACCGCACTGAAGAGGATGTTGTCAAAGCCAGGGGCTGCCAGGTCCTTGTCCCTCTGGAAGGGCCAGCCCCAGCCCCCGCTCTTCTGTAGCCAGTGCCGCCCTGCAAGTCCCAGGAGCACCAGGAGCACGAGGAAGACCAGGGCCCCGCTGACCGCGGCCAGCACTGACACGTGTGCTGCTGTGTCCTCTGCGGGTTGAGGCACAGAGGAAGCCAGGGCGCCCTGGTCCCTCACCCTTGCTGGCTGTGGGGTCTCTGAAGGAGATCTGACCCCGCTGAGGCCCTTTTCCTCATGCAGCTGCACCTAGCACGGGCTGGGCCTTGTGGGACCCAGGGCAGGCACCCCCAGAGCGTGAGTGCTGGGAGCACAGTGCTCACAGGCAGGCCGGGCTGGGAGGGGCAGCGAGAGCTGACACGGCCTGGTGGACAGCGCAGGGTGAGGGCTGGTGGGGCACCATGGGAAGGCCCGGCCAGGAGCCCAGTGCTCACCTGGGCTCGGTGCAGGCCACTGGCAGTGCTGCCCGGCCAGGTACTCGATGTCATCCAGGGCAATGGGCCCCTGCACTGGCTGGCCACCCAGTGTGGCTTCAAACACTACCTGCGGGGGACAGGAAAGGCTGGGAGGGGGGCGGGGCGTGCAGCCTGCTGGGGACCCGAAGCCTCACCTGGAACTCCTCGTCGCTGGCCACCTCCACCTGGGCCTCCAGCCATTGGTGCCGCAGCCGCCCGCCCGCAGCCCACACCTCCAACCGGCCCCGGGAGCTGGCCAGGAGCACGTGCAGCTCGCCCTTGTCTGAAGAGGGACAGGGCGGGTCAGGCCCGGCCTCGGAAGCTGCCTTCCCATTCCCTACTCCTAGGCCCCCGGGCCTACCAACTCACAGAAGTGCTCAGGGAAGCCCATGAGGTACCAGAAGCGAAGGCAGGAGGCCGCAGTGGCTGGCAGGGGCTCACTGCGCAGCCAGGCCGCACGGCCCCCAGCACCCAGCACACCCGTCTCAAAGAAGGCAAAGTGGCCTGGGAACAAGAGCAGGTGCAGGCTGTGCCCCCGCGGCCCTGTGGACCCCCAGGCTGTAGGCAGGGCTGTGCCTCAGTGCCAGGCAGGCCAAGTGCAGTGGGGCTCAGGGTCCCCCTTCCCAGCACACCTGCCTCGGTGCCCAGAGTGTGGTCCACGGGGGGCCGGGCATATGGGGACGGTGCCGCACCACTGCTCCAATCCCAGCTGTACCCGCCCAGGCCTGGCCAGGCCAGGTGGCTCCAGCCACACAGGCCGGACTCGAAGTCACAGGACCCTGGGAGGAGGAGGCAGGTGAGTGGCGCTCCCGGCCCGGCTGGGTCCAGGCCAGGAGCTGGGCATGGCACAGCTCTGGTGGCACCCACAGGCCACATAGCCTCCCACCTGGCTGAGGGCAGGGCCCGTCCTGGAGGAAAACGTCGTCCAGTGCAATGTAGGAGTGCTCCACACCTGCGGCCACTGCCTCAAACACTACCTGTGGGGCAAGGCCAGAGCTGCAGCTAGTGCGGGTGACCCTGGAGGATGGCTCCCCAGCGCCCTGGGTGGGACACTCACCCTCCATGCCTGCTCGGCGTGCACGTCCATGCTGCCCAGGCGCCAGGCCAGCGCGCCGTGCTCACTGATGCTGAGTGTCTGGTGCCGCCCCCCCTCTTCCACACGGACCTGCAGAGTGCCTGCCACACCACGGGGAGGTGCCCACCTGGCTGCCCAGCCGGCACAGGGCCCACGGGAGCCCCACACCCACAGAGGCCCCTCCTGCAGCCCCTTACCTGGGCTTTGCAGGCTCAGGTGGTACCAGAAGGTCAGGCAGGCGGGCCGGGGTAGGGCCCAGTGCTCCTCCGAGGTCAGGGAGGCCATGTGGCCCCGGGGCAGCACGTCTGGGCTTGTGTCCACGACCATGTAGTGCCCTGGGGGGGCAGTGTCAGCCTGCCTGCCCTGCGCCCACCCCAGGCCCATCCCTAGGGCAGGGCAGGCCCATACCTTGGGCTGTCTCCGTGGTGTGGTCTGTCCAGGGGCCCCTGGCAGCATGGCCCCAAGCACTGGCTTGGCGCCTCCACAGGCCTTGCCCACCGGAGGAGAAGCTGCAGGCAGACTCCTCGAAGGAGCAGCGCTGGGGGGCCGGGCAGGTGCCAGGTTGTAGAGTCACGTCGTCCAGCGCCATGATGCCGTGATACCCATCCCGGAGGCCCTGAAATAGCAGCTGCAGGAGCAGGTGTCAGCTGGCTGAGCCTGGCCCCCCGTCCCGGACAGGCTCACCTGGTACTTGGTGCTGGGCTCCAGCTGGTGGTTCAGGGTGGCCCAGGCCTGGTGCCAACGGTTTCCATGGGTGCCCGACCCAGACCAGAGCTGAACTTCCTCCTCCTTGTTCCTCCTCATGGCCAGGCGCAGTGTCCCTGGGGGGGTAGTAGGGTTTGGAGGGGACCAGCCCCCAAATCCCAATCCCCAAGTCCCCAGTGGGCATCCTCGGATGCCCTGCCAGCTGGAGTGCTCACTCACCGATCTGGGGTCCGTGAAGGAGGAACCAGAAGCCGAGGCACTGGTCCAGGGCTGCCGGCACCTGGGGCTCAGTGAGCAGGTGGGCGTGGTGGTCGCGGCTGAGGGGGTTCGTGGGGTCCAGGAGCATGAAAAAACCTGTGCAGGGCACCAGGCTGAGCTGCAGGACGCACTCCTAGGCCTGAGGACCCCTGGGTGAGGGGTCCCCAGTTTGAAGTCCTCCCATATTCCAGGGTGCCAGGGTTTCCTGGTCCTAAGGTCCCCCTACCTTGACCAGTGGTGTGGTCGTACCCAGAGCTGTGGCTTTCCACCCGGTGCCAGTGGACGTCTGTGAGGTGGCTCAGGTGCCAGCCACACGCATCCCGCTCAAAGTTACAGGTGACCTCTGGGGTGGGCAGCAGTGTTAGCACAAGCCCTACCTGCAGCCTCCCCAAGACGAGAGGAAGTCGGGCTTCCTGGGGTCCCTAGAGTGGGCTGGGGGACGTCTGCTGGGAGGGGGGCAAGAGGGACCTCTGTCCTTCTCAGTGGTCACTGTGGGGCTGCAGTTCCTCATGGTCACGTTGTCCACCCCAGCCCCTTGCTGGCCAGGTCCGTCCAAGTCCAGCAGGGCGACCAGCTCCAGCTTCAGGGTGGAGGGAGAGGGCTGTAAATCAGGGCTAGCTCTTTGAGGACCCCCTAACCAGGCTGCCCGCCTCACCTGGAAGGGCCTGCGGTGCGCCCCAAGAAGGACCTTGTCCAGCGTCCAGTCCCAGGAGCTGCCCCCTGGGGCCTGCCACACCAGCTCCCGGGAGCCGCTGTCCACCACAGCCAGGGCCAGGAAGCCTGGCGAGGGGTCAGAGGGTGGGCCTCCGTGGACCCTTCCCATACAGGCACCAAGGGCAGAGAGGGCTGGGGGCAGTACCTCGGGGGCGACTGTGGAAGTAGTAGGCCATGTGGAGCTCACAGTGAGGGCCAGAGGGGCCCAGCACGGGTGTGAGGGCCCGGGCCTCAGCCCTCAGCTGCCCCCAGGCCCTCTGCACGGACAGGAAGTGCCCTGGGGAAGAGCAGGGGCTCAGAGCCATTCATTCAGGGCCCCTCTCCGGTGTGGGGACACTGAAGGCCTCACCTGCAGCAGTCCTGCCTGGGCCCCCACGCTCCTGGGCTGCCAGCCGCACCCACTGCAGCCGCCCTACGCTGGCGTCCTCCCAGCCCCCAGCTGTGGCGGACTCGAAGTCTGTGGTGCCTAGAACAGAGCTGGGCTGGAGGGGCAGCGGGCCACGAGACCCCTGTCTGCCCAGACTCCCACTGCGGCACAGGCTGCCTCCTACCACATTCCTGCTCGTCCTCGCCCTGGGCACACTGGGGCTGGAAGTCGCACAGCTGCTCCAGGGGCACACACAGGTCCCCGCAGGCCAGCTGCCCTGGCTGGCAGGAACCCTGCAGGCTGGACTGCTGGGGCCAGGGGGCCTTGGGCCAAGCTGCAGGAGTCAGCACCGCCCCTGTGGGGCAGAGTGAGGTCACGTGGGGCTGCACACTGAGCCTCTCCCAGCAGGGAGGTGGGCGGGGCGGGGCGGGGCGGGGCGGTCACCTGGGGCCACCGTGCAGTGGTCGGACAGAATCAGGTCATCCAGCCCCACGACACCTCCAGGACCCGTCTCCCCAGTCAGGAGGATCTGGCAGAGAGGGTGCTCAGGGGCGCCTGGTCCCCTGTGCTCCCTGGGAATGCTCCCGGCCGTGGCCCCTGCTCTGGGACACCCCGCTTGGCCCCCTCAGCCGTCCCTGCTGGGACCCCGGGCTCCCTCCCTGCCCTGGCAGAGTGCCCCTGCCCCTGCCTGGCCAGCCTCACCCAGAAGGGCTGGGCGCTCCGGACGTCCACTTGGTCTCGGACCCAGGCTGCCCCCAGCTCACCCTGGCGCTGCCTAAGCAGCACAGGAGCCTGGGAGGCCCTGGGGCCCTGCGTGTGCAGGAGCAGCTGGAGGCGGCCATCCTCAGAGCCATGCAGGTAGTGGTAGAAGATGAGCTGGAAGGGACCTGGCAGTCAGGGCCCCTGTGACGGGCACTGGGCGGCGGGTCCCAGAGCCCAGGTCCAGGCACCACCTCACCGAGCAGTTGTGGGAGCCTGAGGCTTGCAGCTGGGGGCTGAGGAGGACAGCAGGGCTGCCAGGCTTGGCCGTGGAGACCAGGAAGGACCCTGGGGGAGACGGTGGGTGTGGGCTCCTGTCCCTGGCTGTGGCCACGGGGCCAGGGCAGTGGCCCGGGTTCCTGAGGGCCTCACCCTGTGCACTGTTCCGGCTGTGGTCTCTGCTCGGCCAAGCCGAGCCTTTGGGGCTGCCGGTGCTGTGGTTCCAGGCCGGGCCCTCTGAGTGGGTCCACAGGCCCAGGCCTGTCTCAAAGTCAGTGGCCGTGTGGTGGCCTAGGGCGGGGGCAGGGTTGTCAGGGCCACCTGCGGCCGCAGGGCCCACTCTAGGGTGGCCCCTGGCTACCCCACCTTCAGAAGGACCGTGCTGAGATGCACATTCTTGGACAAGCCCGTGGTGCTTTTTTCATCTTTCTGTGGTACTGAGGATTGAACCCAGAGCTTTCACATGGAGCTGTATGCCCAGCCCTTTAAAAAAGTTTTTATTCTGTTTTGAGACAGGGTCTCCTTAAGTTGCCCAGCCTGGGCGATCCTCCTGCCTCAGTCTCCCAGAATGTGGGGATTACAGCCATGTGCCAGCACGCCCAGCTGCCCTGTTCTTTGAAGGATCCCGGAGGTCAGGGCCTGGACTCCGGTCCCCCGCTGCGGCCCCGCCCACACAGAGGCCCCGCCCACACAGCGGCCCCGCCTCACTGCAGGTGAGCAGGTCCTCGTCAGAGCCATCTCCACAGTTGTCCTCCCGGTCACAGAGCTGGTGGGATTCTATGCAGGCTGCATTCTGGCAGTGGTGGTGGCCCACGGGGCAGGTGGCCTGGGGGGCTGGGAGAGAGTGACCAGGTGAGGGGCCCAGGACGCACAGCGGGGGAGTGAGCAGTGAGGCCCCTGACCCCGCCCACCAGGGCCGGGCCGGGTGACGGGGTCCTTACTGGGGAGCCCACAGTCCCAGAACTCCACGTCATCCAAGGCCACAGCACCCCTGTGCGTGGCGTTTCGGGTGGCAGAGAAGGTCACCTGAAGAGGGGAGGTGTCCTCAGGGCCTCAGTTGGGGCCCAGGCCATCCCTTGCCCCTGGCACCAGACACCCCGCTCACTCGGAAGTCGCCCTGGATGCGGCCGGTAGTCACCGCCAGCGCCTGCCAGCCAGGACGCCAGGGCCCTGAGCTCCGCCACAGGGTCAGCGTCTCTGCACGGTGGGTCAGCTCCAGCTGCAGCTCGGCCACATCTGCGGCATTTGGGGGGTCCTGGGGTGGCTTCAGCTCTGCAGTACCCTGGGCCCTCCTCCGGGGATCCCTCCTGGCCCTCAGGTGCCCCCATCCTTCCCTGGAGCCATCTGCCCACCCCGGTCTGGGGTCCCCGAGCCGCACCTCCAGATGCGGCCTGGTACCAGAGCCTCAGCTCGCAGGCGGGACCTGCCTCACGCAGCACAGGGGAGCGCAGGGCTGCGATGGAGGCCTCTGTCCCGAGGTGAGTGCCCACGGCCATGTACCAGCCTGGTGGGGAGTGGACAGCAGTCAGGAGACACATGGAGGCTGAGCAGGGGAGCTGCACAGACACGGGGCCTCACCTAGGTCAGTGCCACGCGTGTGGTCGGCGTGAGCCACGGGCCCCTCAGGCTGTGCCCCAGCCCGGTCCCGGACCCAGCTGTAGCCTGAGGTGCTGATGTCCTGCCAGCCGCAGGAGTCCTGCTCAAAGTCGCAGGTGAAGGGGGTGCCCAGGCTGGGCGAGGCCACACGGTAACCTGGGAGAGTGCGGTGTCAGGCGTCCGCCCCGACCTGGCCCTGCCGCCCCTGCTGGACCCCGCTCACCACACTGGGTCTCGTCAGAGCAGTCCCTGCAGTTGCATAGGAAGTCGCACTGCGCCTCGACGGGGCTCTGGCAGGGACTGGAGGCCCAGGCTCTGCCCAGGGCCTGCGCTGCTGGCAGAGACAGCCGAGTGGGTTGAGGCAGGGCAGCTGGCTGTGCCACTGTGCCCAGGACCTGCTGGCCCTCCTGAAACAGACCTGAGCAGCCAGGACATTTGTCACTGACTGGGGTCAGGTTGCAGGACGGGGCCTGGGCCCACAAACAGGCATGGGGGCTCCATGCCATTTCTCAGGCTCCCAGCCCCTTGGAGGCTGCACTTAGGGGAGGAGGCTATGGGCGCGGGGGGGGGCACTCCCTAGGGGCAGGGACCCGAGCATGTGGCTTCCAGGAGGGGACCCCCAGGAGACTCCTTAGCACCGACCCCGCCCCACATGAGGGGGCAGGGAGGTTCAGGGAGTTGAGTGGGTGCCCACCTAGGGGCCCTCTCACCCTGGGCAGGGAGAGGAGGCTTAGCCGGGCCCTCTCTGGCCCATGGGCTTTCCAGAACGTCCCCCTTGCAGGCTGCTCTCATCCTCTGGAGAGGTCTGGTATCTGCGTGGCGCCCAGGGCAAGACCAGCCCACTCACCCATGAGCAGAACCAGTGCAGGCAGGAGGTATGCAGGCAGCCACATGGCCAGGCTGGAGGAAGCGAGGCCCAGCGGTGGAGGCTGTGCACCCTGGTGGCGGGGACTTTGTCCAGGTCTCACCCTGCAGTGGCCCTGCTGACTTGCCTCTGACTGGAAGGGGCTTGGCTCCTTTTATGCCTGCAGCCCCCGGGCTGGGCCCCACCTCGGGATGGCAGGCCGAGCATCTGGCTGTAAAAGTGTCCCCAGGAAGGGCCCCTGGCCAGGCTCAGCTCCCACCTGCCTAGCTTCTCCCGACCAAAGGTCAGGCCACGGCCATTCCGTGTACCTTCGTCCCCACCCTCCAGTGTGTGGGGCGGGGCTGGGCAGAGGCTGACACCCAGGGGCTTCGGCAGGGTCCCACCGGAGTGGGTGGGGGCTGGGATCCCAGGAGCAGGGCTCTGTGCAGAGCGTGGGGTGCTTCTCTCAGGCCCCTGGCTTGGCCCTAACCTGGTACTGAAGAGGGGCAAGGTGGCCTGTCCCTGTGTGCCCTGGGGCGCTCTGCCTTGGGGATCAGGCAAAGGCCTGACCCCTTGGAACCCAGACTGTGGACCCCCACCCCATCATTCCTTCACCCTTCAGAATCGTCCTGGGCAGCCATGTGCCGGCTGGTCAGTGAAAGGCACGGGGTTCTGCAAGCCAGAAACTTCCAGCACGGGCCCAGTCGGGGCAGGAGGAGCATGCCTGCCACCAGATTCACCCAGGCAGACTTGCTGGGGTGACCTTGGCAGAGTGGCCTCACCGCACTCGGCTGGATGGTGGCCTCAGGACCTCTCCAAGGGCTTACATGAGGTTCGGGGCACAGTGTCTCCCTAACTTTCCCAGCACCCACTGACTCCATACGCTGTGTTCTACCCATGTAGGAAGTGGGGCTGGGAACAGGCCAAGACCCAGGGCTGTGGGAGGTGCAGGGCAAGGGGACCCTCAGAGCCAGGAGGGCCCTCCTGCTTGGCGTCCATCAGTGAGCAGCCCCAGGACCCAATCCTGGACTCGAGGACTGTGGGTCATGTCACACATGTCCCTGGCCAGCAGACCACTCAGGAACATGAGGCCCCCGGGCTGGGCCTGTGGGCAGATTGACAGTGACAGGCAATGTCAGCTGATGTCATCGGCCAGGCCCCTTCCTGCCGGAAGCCTGAGCTGAGCACTGGGAAAGGGGCACTTGTGGGCACTGCAGGCCTCCGGTGGCCATGAGGACCAGGCACAGACTTCTTGTGCAAGGCCTCGTGAGGTCTCCACCCAGATTTCCTCTGGGATAGCATTCTGTGGAGGAGCAATCAGGCCATAAACAGCAGCAGCCTGGGGCCTCCTTATCAGACCCCAAGGGGCTGAGCGTGCACTGCCGCTCTCCAGGGCCTCCAGGGGCAGAGGCCAGGAGGCTCTGGGTGGTGCCCCAGGGGCAGAGGAGCCAAGACGCACAGATGAGCAGACACACGAAGGCTTTTAATTCCTGTGGGCCAGGCTGGCCTAGGCTCCAAGGCCTGGTGGGGTGGCATGTTGCCAAGGGGTCCAGAAGCAAAGAGCTGGGCAGCCTCTCCGGAGCCACCCTGGGCGGGTAGAGTCCTGTCTTGACTGCTGGGCACTGGCCTCAGTAGCCATCGTCTGCCCAGGTGACCTTGTAGTCAGGGTACTTGGCTTTGATCTTCTCAGTTGAGACAGAGTGCTGGGCACGACCGTAGCCCTGGAGAAGGGAGGGCACTAGTTCCACCCGACTGAGCTCTGGGAGTCCCCAGAGCCTCACCAGGAGCAGGTGTGGGCAGGGGAGCAAAGCTACCATCCCGACTGCCCTGGGGACGGGTGGGCTGCACAGGTGAGCCCTCGAGCACCAGGTGGTGTTTGTGAGGAGAGTGGGTCGGGGCTGGGACCCCAGCACTGGCTGCCCCAAGGGCCTGGGCCCAGAGAGCCGGCACACAGAGTTCTGCCAGGCACTGTTCAGGGGAGGGGCCAGCCTGAAGCAGCTGCAGTGCCCCGTGGGCAGGCCAGGCTGCTGGGGACTCAGGAGCAGCTCTGCAGCCAGAACCAGGGCCCAGAGCCTGCCGGGTCGGGCTCACCATGGAGTAGCCATACACGTGGATCTTCCTGTCCTGGCTCTGGTGGGAGATGCGCCCGCCGCCCAGGCACTCGCAGTCATAGCCCCCCTTCCGCAGCTCACCGGACACTTTGTCGTAGATGTCCGCTGGGTGGGGACAGCAGCAGCCTCAGGACGAGCCCTGGCCGCCCTTGGAGGCCACGGGATGAACTCTGGGCACGGGGTTCTGAAGCCCCTCCCCGGAAAGGAAACCCCCGCGGCCAGGGACGCAAGGCGAGAAGGGGGTGCTGGGGCGAGTGCGGGCCTAGGAGGAAGGGGTCAGACCCTGCGCCCCTGTGCCTCGTCCCCGTCCTAGCCCTTGGCACGGCCCCGCGTCCCTCCAATTTAGCCTTCAGCGCCCCCTGCAGGTCCCCCGTGATCCTCGGCCTCACCCCTGTTCCTTCGCCCCGCCCCCCGCCCTCGGCCCCGTCCGCAGCCCTCGCCGCTCCGCCTTACCATGGTACTCGGCCCACTTGTAGCCGCGCACGATTTCCTTGCACTCCCCAGCCGGGGCTCCGGAGGGCGGCGCCGAGTGGACCCGAATCAGCACGTACTTGAAGACTCCCTCCGGGTCAATGTCCACATCAGGAATCTGAGCGAGGTCCGCAGCCGCCATGGTCCCCGGAGCGCCCGGCCCGTGGGTCCCACGGCCCCTTCTCCCACCCGGCCCGGGACTGTCAGGCCAAAACGGGATGCGACGGGCGCGGCCAATCCCACGAGCCGATGCTGCCGGGGCCCAGAGCCTTCGCCAATCGCACCGCCCGCCCGAGACGCGGCCTGGCCAATTACAATCCAGTTCCTTGAAGCTTTGTGACCACGCCCTATAGCTAAAGGGACCGTGGACTAGGGACGGGAGGTGATTGCCGACAGAAGTTCCTTTCCTTTGGAGTTCGGAGTGGCACGGCTGGAACGGGCAGTCGGGAGGCCCGCGATCGGGATAGGGGAGGAGCTCCCAGGGACCCATGTCAGTCGCGGCCCTCTGGCCCGTCCGAGGCCTCCATCACCGACACCACCCCTGTCCCAGGACCTCTGTCCCCGACCCCCATGAGAGTCCCAAGGCCTCGGTCCCCTACGACCCCACGAGCCGGCGGGCCTTCCTCCCCGATCCCCGTCCGAAGTCCTCCGTCCCTGATCCCCACCCCACTTCTGAAGGCCTCGATCCCCGACCCCCTAACAAAGAGACAAACACGGCTACATTCAAGTTCTATTTTACTTGGTTGGAAAGTGCTCGGGCGACCTCGGTCCCAGGTGATCCTGCCAGACCTCAGGGGCGGCCTAGAGCGGAAGCTCGGTGCTTGGGGCGCGTGGCGAGGGCCGCAAGCGGGGTGCCGCTGCGTGCAGACTCGCGGGCGGGCGCAGGCGGAGCAAGATGGAGCCGGACCAGTTTCTCCACTCGATGCCCACTCCCCGGGGCCCCCAAGAGGCTAGGGTTTCGGGGGAACCCTTCCGCAGCGCCTGGCCTCGCCCCTCTCCCCAACGTGGGTCCTCCATGGATCCTGGGAGGTGGATCCCCTTCACCCCAGCGTGAGCGTGCATCAGTGCACCGGCCTCACGCCTCAGCCCGCAGCCGGGGTGCAGCTAAGGCGAGAGCTCGGAGGCCAGGGTGCAGCAAAGGCTATGACTCGGGCAGGACACACGCTCCTGGCTCCTGGGGCGGCCCTGAGCCTTGAACGGGTGGCACAGGGCGGCACGTTGCTGCCACTCCTGCTCCTGGGTCAGTGGTTGAACGCCGCTGCCTGAAGGACCTCTGTGCTTCCCCCGCGTGGGTCCCTCCTCTGCACAGGCTCTCACCACCCTGGGAAAAATGGGCCTGCGTGGTCACCAGGCCCTATTTAGGCCTGGCTTTCGCCTAGGGCCGCCTTGTTGGGGGTGGGTAGGCGCTCCAACACTCACCCATGCAGAGCTTGGCCCTGGCATCCCCAATCCACAAGCTCTGCTCCCCCTGCCAGGGGCCCTGTAGCTGGAGACCTTCCAGCATCCCAAGCACCCTGGCAAGGCCCAGTCCAGGGCGGCCGGGCACTCCCGGGTTTCTCTCTGGGGACGTGGAGCAAGCACGCTACCCAGAGTGCTCTCTGCTTTCCGCGAAGAAGGCCTCGGAGCAGAACACACCCCGACAGCGGGCAGGCCGGGGGCGGGGGGCGTGCTTAAAGTGACACTAGGCTTTGGTCGGCACGGGCTCCTGGACCTGGGCCTGGAGGATCCCGGCTTCTGGAGGCAATGGCGGCGTCCTGCGACGCAAGAGACGGGAATCGAATTTGCGCTAGGGTCTTGCGCAGCGACCCTCCGCGTGAAGGCAGAGCCGGGCGGTCCTCAGGCCCACCCCACCTCCCAGCGGGGAGCACCGAGGGCGAGGACCGGCCTCTGGGGACCCGAGGGCGGCTGGAGGCGGAGTCTCCAGGAGGCGGGGCCGACGGGCGGGGGCGATGGGCCGCGAGGTGTGCGGAGAGCGAGACCGGGAGAGGCCGGAGCTTGGGGACCTGGCGGAGCTGGAAGTGCGGGATGGGCGGGGCTCGGAATGGGGGGCGGGGGTCGAAGGAGGGGCTCGGCTGGAGCCAGCCTGGCCCGGGGCCTGGGGCTCACATGATGTCATCCAGCAGGTTGGCGCTGGCCACCCAGTCGAGCGCGCGCGGCTCGGACGCGGCCATGATCATGCACATGAAAGGGCGGCCGGTGCGGCGGTCCGTGGGGTAGATGGTGGTGGGCGTGAAGCGCCGGTTGGCCTCGACAAACTCGCACAGCTGTTCGTAGACGCGCGGGAACTCGTGGCGCAGGAAGACGCCGCGCAGCCGCAGCTCGCGCTGGATGTGGATGAAAGCCACCTCGCGCGCGCGCCGGCCCGCCTCGCCCTCCTGGTCCAGGCCGGCGGTGCCCGGCGGCGGCGTCAGGATCAGCGTCTCCATGTCCGGCTCGCGTGTGCGCGCGGGGGGCGGCCGCGCCGGGCTGCCGGCTGCCAGTGCCACCTTGGCGAATTTACGCACCGTGGGCCCGGGGCTGCGCGGCGCAGGAGCGGGCTGGGAGGCTCCCGTGCCGGGGCCCACCGCCACCGACACGCTGAGCAGGAAGCACTCAGCCGGTTCGTAGAGCCGCCCGGCGGCCGCCAGCTCCCGCGCGTAGCTGCCCAGCGGCGCTGCGTGCGTCGCCAGCTCGCGCAGCGACAGGTAGGTGGGCGACAGCAGAAGCCCCTCGAGGCCAAAGCGCAGGAAGTTGTCGGCCGAGCCCGGGCTCGGGAAGCCCAGGAACAGCACGCCGCGGCCGCGCGACAGGAAGCCCACACGTGCGATGCGCGAGAAGGCGCGGTGCACCGGGCCGCTGTCGCGGCAGAACTGCAGCACGTGGCGGCACACGCTGCCCACGCGGCCGTACACGCAGCGCGCCTTGTGCGCGTCCCAGTCCTCGCGGCGGCACAGGCGCGAGCAGTAGTAGGTGTAGCAGCTGTGGCACGACTTGAAGTAGAGGCAGGCGTTGAACATGGTCTCTGTGCGCCGGCAGCGCGCGTTCGAGCAGGTCATCAGGTCGTCTTCGTCCGCGCTGGGTTCGGGAGACGCGTCAGCCGCCTCACCCGAGCCGGGCGGTTCCTCGACGCTGCCGGCCGACGCGGGGGGTGAGCGCGGCGGCACCAGCGCGGGGGCCCTGGGGCCCGCGGGCCTCGAGTCCAGCAGGCTGCGGCGCAACGGGCGGCCCAGGCCGCTGGGCGCGGGTTCCGGGGCTTGGCCCGCCGCGGGCCGGGAGTCGATGACCAGGTCGGTGATGAGCTCGTCCAGCTGCTCCAGGCTGCGCTGGCGGCCGGAGGCGGGCTCGGGCGCGGCGGGAGCGGGAGGACGCGCGCGGCCCGAGGGCAGCTCCCAGCCCCTGGCGGCCGGGCGCTCTACGGAGCGCAGGTCGTTGTCCGTGATGGTGATCTCGGGCGTCACGTACCAGTTGCGGCCCGGGCCCTCTCCGGCACGGCCTTTGTCCGATAGCGACGTCTCGGACAGCGACAGCGCCGCGTAGCGCCTGGGCGAGGTGGAGAGGTTCACCACGACCGGAGGGCGCCGACTCTCGGGGGATGCGCCCCGCGGCTCCCGTCCCTCGCGCCCCAGCAGGTTCTCATAGCTGCGGCCGCGGCCCAGAGGGTCCTCGCGACGCCGGCAGGGCGCCAGGATATTGTCCCAGGAGCGCGAGTAGTGGCGGCTGTCGGTGGCCAGGCGGGGCGGGCTGGTGCCGGTGCCGCCATGCCACGAGGCCAGCAGCGGACCGGGCGCGGGGGGAGGCGCCACCTGCAGCGTGCGGTACGGGCGCGGGCCCCAGTCGGCCCAGGCCGGGCTGCTGCGCGGGTGTGGGTAGGTCCGAGCTAGGACGTCACGCTCGCGGTACCGCCCGAAGTCCTCGGTGTAGAAGGGGCGGGTGGCGGGGCGCGCCCGGGGCTCATCGGGGACGTAACAGGGACCGAAGGGCAGGCCGTAGGCTCTGGGGGCCTCCCCATAATAGGAGCGGGAGGGCGGCTCCTGAATCGGGAAGGTTCCCACTTCCCCCGCGTAGTAGCCGCCCCCGCGGCCTGGACCGGGCCCGGGGAGCTGCTCAGCTGTGTAGGGCCGGGGGCAGTAGCCCTCAAAGGGGGGTGCGGGGCTGCCCGCAAAGCCCCCCCCGAAGCCCTCGGGCTCCTCGGTGTAGAAGAACTGAGTGGGGCCCGGGGGTGCAGTGAAGAGCTGACCGCGGCGCTCGCCGTGGTCCCGGGGCCCGGGCAGCGGCCCGTCGCAGTAGAGCGCGCGGAGGTCCGCGCAGTAGGAGTCGGTGGGGGTGGGGGTGCGCGACAGCGCCACGTGGCGAGGCCCGGGCACCGTGAGGCCGTGAAGTTGCGGAGCAGCGCGGGGCCAGGGCGTGGCCTCGGCGGGCCCGAAAGGCCGTGAGCCCCGGGCCGCGTGCTGCAGCACCGAGTCATCGGGCTTGATGTCCAGGCGGCAGCGGACGTGGGGTGCGGGCCCCGCGGGCGGCTCAGGGGGTGCGCAGCGGCCGGGGGCGGCGCACAGGGGCGCGATTCGGCCGGGGCCGCCCCGTTGTGGCTGCAGCTTGATGGGGTGCAGCTCGTTGGCGAGTGCGCGCATCGCAGGATACCCGGACTCCCGACGCGGCGACCCCTCGGCCCCCGCCGCGCGCTGGGCGTCCCGGGCGCGGCGCTGCAGCACGGGCGGCGAGGCGGGTGCAGGGGCTAGGCCCGGGGACACGCGGGGTGCGCTCTTGGAGCGCGCGCGGCGCCGCGGCTCGCCGTCGCGGGGCCGGGCCCGAGGCGGGGCAGGCTCAGGGGGTGGCAGCTTGGGCCGGGCCTCCATGGCCGGCGCGTCCAGCGCCTCTAGGAAGTCGAAGCTGCGGCAGTGGCGCTTGTTGAAGGGCGCGGGCGCAGCAGGCCGGGCCACGGGGCGCTCACATGGCCGGCGCCTGGACTCGGGCCCGGGGGCCGCCACCTTGATGTCCTGGTACACGGTCGACACCAGCAGATCCGGCGGGTCCGTGCGGGTCATCTTAAAATACGTCCCCAGGCTGGCGGCTCCAGTCACACGGCCTTTCGGGGCTCTTGCCCTGGGGGGATACTCGGGTCAGGACTGTCACGTCCGGCTCCCTTCCACTCCCAGCCCGGCCCTGGGCCTGTGTACCTGGGGTGATGGCGGTGCAGCAGCCCTGGCTGCAGGCCTCAGCGGTGATCGCCGGTGCCTGGTCCATGACATCAAAGTCAGAGGCACCTGCAGGAGAAACCTAGCTGACCCCCAACGGGCCAGGGAAAATATTTAGCCTTCTGTGCGCCACCTCCCGACTCTGGCGAGGACCCCTTTTCTGGCAGGCGGGGCGGGGCAGGAGGGCAGCTGTGTGGTCTTAGGTAGGAGTGCTGCCCTCTGGTGCCCACAGCTGGAATGAGGGGCTCTTTTCAGCCTTGTGTAGATGCATTTACTGGCGTCGGTTCCCCAAGATGCCTGTGACTGCAGCCCCCTCCTAGTGCCCCCGTGGGGTGGCCATGCTGGCAGTCAGCCTGAGGCAGGCCCTGGACCCCACCGCCTGGTGACCAGCTCAGCAGATCCCTCCCCCAGTGCCATGGGGACCCTTGCATTTGGGACACTGGCTGCCTCCCCAGCGGAGTCTCAAATGCCAATGTGACCCAGGGCAGGAAGATGTCCCCAAAGAGCATTCCTGGGTCTTCCAGCTCCCTTTGCAGAAGCCTTCCCTGACCCCGGCTGCTTTAGGGGGACTGAAATCTACCTACCTCGAGAATGTGGAGCAACCCCCACCAGCTCAGCGCTGTGCCCTGGCACCCCCAGTGTGTGACAGTGGCGGGAGCCGTCGCAGGCTGCAGGACCTCAAGACCCTCATCCCTGATCTGTGAGCCGCCCCCCAGCTATGGAGCTAGCACACCAGGCCGGGAGGCTGCCAGCCCAGGCAGGGGCGTGGGGGACGGTGGGAGGTGGGAAAAGCTCCCAGGAGGCCCCTCCCCACTCTAGTGCCAGAAGCTCCATGGAAACCTAAGGTTCTTCAGCCCCCGGCTGCGGGCTGGGCTGAGTCCAGGCTCGCCATGCGTTCAGATATGGGCCACCGTTGCCTCTGCAGTCTCTAGGGCCTGGGGCTGGCTGGGGAGGGGTTCGGAGGTAGTGGCAGTCCCCCCCCAGCACCCACTCTGGGGTGTCTGCGCCAGGCGCTGGGGAAGGAGCCTGGCTGGGCCCTCACCTGGCAGGACTGTAGCCGGGTGGCTGTCGGGGTCAGCCCTCCGTGTCCCAGGTGTACTGGGGCCGCCTGGAGGCCTGGCTGCTCTCTGGGGCCGTGGCCACTAAGTTCCGATCTGTCCCCATCTGGGCCTCCCGCACACCCGGTCTGGACCCTTTCATCCTAGGCTCTAGGCCAGTCTGGAATTTGGGCTGATGACAGGGCGTGAGGCTCCGCCCCGGGGGAGGGTGGTGGTGAGGGCTTTGCAGCAGCGCTGTCGGGAGCGGCACTCAGACGCCCCCCCCAGGGGTGGGGGTGGGGTGCGCCTCCCCGGGACCCCGGATCTTCCCGAACTCACACGGGTGGCCACGCAGCCCTGCCCCGGCCTGTTGGGAGCGGCCATCGCGGACGCCCGGCCTGCACTGCTGGGGGGCGGGGACTCCCCATCCTTTCGGGCCGCCCTCGCCCATGACAACAGCACGCCGAGACCTTCAACCCCCACCTCTTACCTGGGCCTTGTTCCACCTGCCCAACTCGGGTGGGCTGTGCAACCCCAAGCCAGCTCCACCGGGTCCGGGCACCGCTGAGTCCCCAGCACCAGCAGAAGCTTCGAGGCAGCGGCGCTGGCCCCGGCCTGGCCGCTCAGTGCTGCCTCCAATGGCGGCCGACGGGGTGGCACTTAAAGGGGCCGCACTTGGTGGCGGCTGTGGCAGGGCACCGAGGACGGAATGCTCCAGGCTGGCTGTAACCCGGGCGTGTGCTGAGCACAGGGTGCTCTAGCCTCCCCAAATACCAGCCTCAGGATCTGGACAAGGGTCCGTGCCCCAGAGAAGCCCGCCGTTATGCGAGCCCCGCCTCCAGGACACCTGCTCTGGCAGCTGGTGGCCGGGGAGGGCCTCGGGTAGGGTGCCGGAAGAGCCCCGATCCCCGCCAGGCTGCAGGGCTGGACAGGGCTCCCAGAATACCTGCCTCCGGCCGGGCCCAGGCAGGAGCAGATGGGCGACTCCAGCCCTGCTGCCCTCTAGCTGGGCACACCAGATGGCCAGCTCAGACCACAGCAGGGCCTGTTGTCCAGGTAAAGGCAGCTGGCACCACACACATGCCCCATCATGCAGGTCTGTGCCACGGGGGTGTCCCACCCCGGCCCTGTGCACTCTGGCCAGCTGGGGGAGGCCCAGATGCCCTAGCTCTGGTGGGCAGGCTGGTGGCCCCTCAGGGTCTTCTTGGACGCCGGCCCCGTTCAGACCCACTGCTGCTGCTGTGTGGTCCCCACGCCAGGGGCCCCCAAGCTAAGGGCGACAGGGTCAGGCTAAGGTAGGGCACAAGGCTCCCCAGCAGGGACCTGAGGACTTTGGGGAGGTGGCACACGAGCTCCCCCCCAACTCTCAGTGCAGCCCCAGAGGGATCTCATGGCAATGGGGCTGTGAGCTGCAGGGACTGCCCAGGAGGCAGGGGCTTGCCTGTCCCTGTCCCGCAGGCTGGGCCTGGTGTCCTGGGAGCTACCATGCCGCACTGGCCTAGGGCACACCATGGTGCCGGCCGAGCTGGTACTGCCTGGCAGCACTGGCCCAGGTGGGGCGCTGGGTGGCCTCATGCCCCAGACGGCACGGGGTAAAGAGGGTGGAGGGTTGGTCCCACCACAGGTGGCCCGGGCAGCTGAGGAGAGCAAGAAGGGCAGACGAACACAGCAGTAAAACCCAAGAGCTTTATGGTCGAGCGGAGTGTTGAGGAGGCGCCTCCTGCCCAACCCCGCTCCCAGTAGAGGCTGTGCCTGCTGCTCTGCTCCTGCCAGTCTCATCTGGCATGGGCTCCAGATGCCCTGTAGGGCAGGGGCCGCCACATCCAGGGCACGCACGGGACTGCAGTGTGCGGCCCAAGCCTGGTGGCAGAAGCAGAGCCCATGGCATGCTGTGGCCCCACGCAGCTCAGGAGGGTGAGCAGGGGCAGGCGGGTGGTGGGTATTGGAGGAGCCGGGCAGCCCCACGCCCTGCCTCTGTCAACGACCCTGTGGGTCCTTCCTCGGCCTGTGACATCCCTGAGAAACGCCGGGGGCTGGCCGAGGCCTTCCTGGGGAGGCCAGGCTGTCCCCTCCTCCCTGCACAGCAGGCTCATGCTGGCCTGAAGCCCGGCCCCTGCAGCACCCAGCCCAGTCCTCCTCCAGAGGAAGCCAATGCAGGGCGGGCCAGGGCCGGGTGCAGGTGTGGCGGGGCGCAGGTGGTGGGCATCTCAGCCCCAGGCCTAGAGCTCCTCGTAGTCCCCGCCCCTGGGGTGGCCGCCAGCAGGGGGCCCGCCCCCCAGGAAGGCCTCCAGCTCCTCAGCGGCCTTCTGCTCCTTGCTGCGGGCAGGCTTCCGCTTCTTGCGCCGCTCCTCCTTGGCCTCCTCCCTGTCCTTGCTCTTCTTGGGTTTGCTCTTCTTCCTTGCAGCCTTTTCTTCCTCCTGGGCAGGGCCTCGGGGTCAGCAGGGCCCTGGGCGGGATGGGTGCCCACCCGACCCTGCTGCCCAGTACCTCTGTGCTCTTCTTCTTCTTCTTCTTCCTTGCCTTGGAGGGCGGCCTGGCGTCCTTCTCTGCACGGGAGGACAGCGCTCAGGTCCCCATGTCGCCTGGCCTGGCACAGGAGGCCCAGGGCCCCAAGCGCTTGAAACAGCTGGGGAGGAAATGCCTTCCTCTCCACGTGGGGCGGAGGAGCCCCCGGCCGGGGCAGGGGAACAAGTCCACCGTCTGGGCTGTGGTGAAGGGCTCAGAGTGGACAGCAGGGCAGTGCGGCCAGCGTGTGACCTGGGTGAAACCACCGGCCCCCAGACGGCACCAGCATCGCCCATGTGGGAGTGGAGCCCTGTGAGAGCCAGGTGCTCCTCTGCAGGCCCTACCTGCCAGCCCCACTCCTGGCCCAAAGCCCCGTGGAACCTGAAGGCCTAGATGTTGACAGAACAGCTGACACAGGCCACTGGGGATCCGTGGCCCAAATTCTTGGGGCCATAGGGACCCCAAAGTGGGAGGCAAGACTTCTCTGAGACCAACAGGCCTGCTGGCCCCGGCCTTGGATGGCCGTGTTGCAAATGCCAGGCTTGGGCATGTGGCTGCCAGTCGGGGGCAAAGCCCAGAGGTGCGGTGCAGTGGAGCGCTCTGCTCTGGAGACCCCGTGCACAGCAGCCAGCCTGAGGCCACGACCCACCTTCATCACTGCTGTCCTTTGGGCACGGCTCTTCCAGCCCCAAACCAAAGAGGTCAGAGTCGTTCTTTGGTCTGAAGGAGGCGACAGGAGGCCGGGGGGCCGGGGGCTGGGGTGGCTGGGCGGGCCTGGAGTCCTCATCGCTCATGTCGGAGGGGTCCTCTCTCACGGGGAGCTCGCCCTGAAGTGGGAGCAGCGGGTAGCCACTGTCCCTCCCAGCACAGGGCCCTGAAGCATGGTAGTGAGTCCTCTCAGGGGACCCCGAGCCGACCAGAAGGCCAGTGTGGATGGCGGGCCTCTCCTCAGCCCCACCCAGGCCCCGTGCCTGGGGCAGGACAGCTGGGAGCCCCAGCCGAGCCTGCTGCAGGCAGCCCGTCCTCACCACTCTGCGCTGTGCATCGGAGCCTTCGCTCTCGAAGTCTGGGTCATCCATGACGAAGGACAGCATCTGCGCGGCGACGGGCCCCTCAGGGTCACTCTCTGACGACGAGGCCGGGTCCTCCCTCCCCTCTGCAGGTCTTCTGGAGGAACCCTCCGTGGGACTCAGGGTGCTGCTGGGGCGCTCGGACCCTGACCTTGGCCAGGAGGGCACTGTGGCCTTCGTGGGCTCTGACTCTTTCTGTGGCTGCATGGCCTTGATGGAAAACCTTGGTGACAAGGACAGACTGGCTCCCGGGCTGCCCAGGCTGCCCTGCCCTGCCCTGCCCCGCCCGGGCCCCTCCCATACCCTTTTGTCTCCCGGTCTGAGCGCTGCTGAGGAGCTGGGGCAGCCGTGCTGGGGTGACCGGGCCCCTCCTCGGTCTCCTCCTCACTGGAGAGACTGATGTTTTTGCTGGGGACAGGGCCTGAGGGCAGCGGGGCTCTGCCGCAAGGCTGATCCTCAGGGTCCACGTCGTCTTGGAAACCCGCCACCATCGGGTTCTCGCCCAGGGCCTCCCCGTCGCTGGAGAGAAGGTCGAGGGGATCAGGGCCTGGAGGAGCTGGGTGCTGCCGCCTCTGCCCTTGGTGCCCATCTGACAGGGAGATCTCCTGCCTGGCCACCCTGGGAACTGAGAGCTGGGGCGGGGCATGAAGTGGCACAGTGGTACCCAGGGACTCCTGGGCGTCACTCCCTGGCATTTCTGAAGTGGAAGCCACAGGTGCAGTGACATAATGGGTGCCAAAAGCCACCCAAGATGGGTTCCCCAGAGCAGCAGCAGCTCCCAGGCAGGGCTGGTGCTAGAGGCTGGGCCCAGGGGAAGGGCACAGCTTTGTGCCCAGCTTTGCAGTGCTGCCCAGCGCATGTGGGGACCCCTGACGGGACCCAGGTGGCCACGTGCTCCATGTGGCCAGGCCCAGGATGTGCCTGAGGAGCCCCTGCTGTCCTGGTTGGCTGAGGCCAAACCCCGCCCTGCCCAGGCATGGGCTGAGTGCCCCAGCTGCCCGGGGTGGCCGCGGTACAGTGGTGGTCCTGGAATCTGGGCTGGCCGAGCCCGGCTCAGTCCTCGGTCCCAGGGGTGTCACGGAGGACTCTCCTGACCTGTCGCTGTCCTGCTGTGGGACCTTGGCTCCAACCTTCTCGTTCTTGGGTGGGGCAGCGTCCTCCAGGAAGCCTCGGTCAAGGCCATCTTCAGGAACAAAATCCTCCATGTCCTGGACCCTTGCTAGTGCCTCCGCTGCTGGGGCCGGCTCTGCGGATGGCAGGTGCCTGTCCTCGTGTGGCACTGGGTCCCTCTTTGTCCCTCGCCCTCTGCCAGGCCCACCCCAAGACTGGGCCCACAGGTGGCTCCTGTGCTTTGCCTGCCCCAAGCAGAAGAGGGAGCTGTACCGGGACATGGAGGGGCCTGCAGCTCTGGCCTACCTGGAGCAGGGGGCACTGTGTCCACGGCGGGGGAGGTCCCAAACAGCCGGGAGATGATGCTACGCCGCGGCACTGGGGCGGGGATGGGGGGTGGCGGGGCCTCCGCAGGGGGTGCAGGGGGGCAGGCGCCAAGTGGCGGCTGGGGGGCAGGCTGGGGCGTGCTGGGGCTGGAGCTCCCCGTGGAGATGGCACTCAGAGGCACAATCGGCGACTGGGAGCCCGAGGACGGGCTCTGCCCGTCGGCAACCAGTGGGGTCGTGTGGCCGCGGCTTCGGGCTTCCATCATCTCGAGGAAGCTGGGGAGGGTGGGAGGAAGGTGGAGTGAGGACCTCGGCTGCTGGGTGCTGGGGTGTTGGACTGGACCACCCTGGGCGCTGGGCCTCCCCAGGTAAGAGCAGCCCTGTTTATGACGTTGATCCACTTGTTCCACACCCGCTTCCCTAACTAAGTATCTTGTTGCATGTGAGCAGAAACCCAGCACAGGAACAGGAGGCCCGCAAGTGCCATCAGGAACGCCTGTCCCATGGGCTGGGATGTGACCGCCCCTTGCCTGGCTCAGGCTGCAAGCCTCCCTGCAGACAGCGGCTGCCCTCCCTGTGGCCGGGCTCCCAGCTCACGCACACGCCGTAGTTCTGGTCCTCCGTCTCCTGCTGCACTGACAGCTCCTCCAGCGTGGCGTCGATGTCCAACTGGTTGGTCTCGAGCTGGCGCAGCAGCGTCTCTCGCTAGAGGAGGTGGGCACCACTGAGCTGTGTCCCCCGCTCACTGCAGTGTCCCCTCACAGGACCTGACTCCGTGAGGCCAGGTGGTCAGGCAGGCTGCACCCCAGGGAGCTCCCCTCTGGCTTCACCGTGGCTGCGGGGTGCCATACTGTGTGCGGCTCGGAAGCAGCACCTCCTGGGCAGGGCCAGGCCCTGACGCATCCCTGCAACAGCCACTCAGGGCCAATATACTGTATCCTCGCACACACAGCCCTGGGGCAGGGCCAGCCTGGGGTGGAAGAGCTGCACCAGTCACAGCCCGGGCAAACCAAAGCCTCCTGGCCCGAAGACTGCAGCCCAGCTGGCCATGCCTCTGCGTGGCGCTGCCCCCGCAGCTGCTTGTCCACATGGTGTGTTACACTTAGAACACACGCATCACATACTCAGCGGCCACTGGGAGCAGCCGTGGCACAGGGTGGGCCCGAGACCTCCACCACAGAGGCTGACACGGGCCACCAGAGGGATCCAGACCCTGTTCAGCTGCAGGGCACGGCAAGGACTACATGGTAAAAGCAGTAGCAGCTACGGACCAGAGGAGACCTGGAATGCGCGCAACACGGTCCTAAGAGGTGGAGAGAACCTATAGCAGTACCTGGCCCCCAGAGATAAACACGTGCACAGCAAGCAGACAGGGTCAAGTTTTAAAACAGACTCGATGTCTAGAGAGTCACACCAACAAATGCAAGGGCTGAGCTCTGCCCAGGCTTAGAGCTGCTTTGTATTGACCAAATCTGACACTGCGCCACTGGGTATGGTGCGGTGTGAAACACCATTAGCGGTGTGTCTGGAGAATTTTCGGATGAACGTTCAGAATGTCCAGGGCAGGCAAGAGGCAGGAGGGAGGCTGCGCTCCCGCCACAGGGTGCAGCTCCAGCACTGGCCCTGGCACCCAGGAAGCCAGTGTCGAAGCCTTCAGGGACCAGAGCAGCCGAGTGGTGGCAAGCTCCATTTCTCTATGGCAACAGAGGTTTGCAGAGGGCAGCCTGGGCTACACAGTAAATTCAAGGCCAGACTGAATGACATAGCCAGACCCCATCTAAAGAGGTAAACAAACAAAACCAAAAAAAAGTACAGAAAAAGGAGCTGGGTGTGGTGGTACACACCTGTAGCATTAGGGAGGCTGAGGCAGGAGGGTAATGAGTTTGAGACCAGCCTGGCTAAAAAGTGAGACCTTGTCTCAAAGGAGGAAGAGAAAGAGTGGAGGTGCTGGGTGCAGCGGCACACAACTGTAATCCTAGCTGCTTGGGAGGAAAGCAGGTTCAAGCCCAGCCTGGGCAACTGAGTGAGACTCTGTCTCAAAAAATACGGACAGTGGTGCCGTGCCTGCCTTGCAAGTGCAAGGTCCTGAGATTGATCCCCAGTACTGGAGAAAAAACCAGAAGGGCTGGGGATGTGGCTTAGTGGTAGAGCGCTTGCCCAGCATGTCCAAGGGCCTGGATTCCATCCTCAGGACAGGACAAGAACAAAGGCAAGAGAAAAAGGAAGGCCCTGCTTTCCTGAGAGCACATGGTTGGGGCAGGACCAGGCGGGAGCCTAGGTCTGCTCAGCCCCACTCCCACCAGAGCGGTGTCACCCAGGCTTCCCAGCCACAGCTGTGGCCCGGCACCTGCCTGGGCTCAGGACTCAGAGCCCTGCCCACATCCTGCCTGGCGCAGGAGAGGAGAGGGCTCCTGCGCTGGGATCCACAGCACAGCTTGGGGCCCGAGGGCAGGGCCAGGAGCCACACTATGGCAGCTGGCATCCTGCTTCCAGCACGCACCCCGCAGCAGGAACCAGAGGGACCCAAAAGCTCCTGGGGTCTGGCACCTGGCTCGCCACACAGGGCTGTGTGCCAGGACCCAAGCTGCTAGGCCACAGAGGGCACCTCCCCCTTGTCTTTGGTCCAGACCCAACCACCACCAGCTGTGCCCAGTCCTCAGACAGCCAGGGCCACAACCCGAGAGCACCACGGAGACAGCTCGAGCTGGGGAGGTCTCAGGGAGGTCCGTCAGGGTGGGCGAGACCTTGGGGGACAGACCGCGCTAGGAGCCGGGCTTCACGGGCTTCAAACGCGCTGCGGAAAGGGATGTGGCACAGGGGGTGGGAGGGACCTCCGGCAGGAGCCCCACCCACCCAGGTGAGGGCGCCACACGCGGGGTGAGATGCAGCGGCTCCTCAGGACACCTCGCCGGCTGCCCCGGGTCTCCCCAGCTCTTGGGCCCAGCGCGGGTGTGTGCGCGTGCTCAGGGCTTGGCTGCCCGCCCCCAGGGTGAGGACCCACCTGCAGCTGCAGGAACGGGATGTTGAAGAACTTGTGTAGGTACTTCAGGCCAAAGCTGTTCTTCATGGATGACTCTGCGTAGCGGAAATAGGAGGAGCCCGGGGGTCTGTTCAGGAGAAAAGTGTGAGAAAGGCCCTCAGGGGGCCGGAGCCCAGGACCATGCCTGGGCTGAGGCTGCCCGCGGCCCCGGCCTCCCCACTGCAGCGGGCCCCTGCGGGTGGCCTGAGGAGCGGTCAGGAGCCTGTGGTCCTGACGGTCACCCTGGCTTGCACTGTGTCCTCCCTTGGGGCCAGCCAGGTGGCTTGGCTGCCTCAGTTTACCTCTGCAGCACCGAGCTCGCACAGGTGCAGGCACGCGGACCCACCTGTCCAGGTGTTCGATGAAGTCACGCACGTCATCGGGCAGGATGACACGGTGCTCGCCCATGTCGCGGTAGTTCCCCAGCACGCACACCGGCACATGGGTCGGCACTTTGGGAAGCTCCCGGAGGACATAGCTGAACGTCCTGGGGGAGGGGAGGGGAGTCTCAGCTGGGCAGGGCTGGTGCCCCCCCCCCCGCAGCCCTGGCGCTTCCTCCTGGAGGACACACCTCCTGGCACCCCCGGTCCTGGTGCCCCCCCCCACCTTTCCCTGGGATACCACATGCCCACGCCCCTATGAAACCATCACTATGTTCACCTGCTTCCAGCACTGCCCTGGGGTGACCCAGCCCTGGTTCCCACTGTGCACCGAGGTCAGTGCCACCGCTCCCCTCCGTGCACTGTGCCTCTGGCTCACAGACGCCATTGCCAAGGCGACCCTGCCAGGGTGGATGGACAAGGGCCGTCTTCTGGGCCTCGTGCCTCAGCACGTGAAGCTGCCCAGGTGGCTCGCAGGGTGGCCAGCAGGTCTTCCCAGGTGCAACCTGGCCCTGGGCCTGCTCCAGGGTCACTCTCTGGGTTTTGCAAGTGGCTTGTGAGGATGTAACCAGGCTTGAGGGTGGCTGAGCTCCCTCCATGGAGAGGAAGGAGTGAAAATGCACATCCTGGGCCGGGGATTTAGCTCAGTGGTTCCTCCGCCTGCTCCGCAAGCACAAGGACCCAAGTTCGATCCCCAGTACCAAAAACAAAAAAAGAAAATGCATATCCACAGCTGTAGTGAGTGGCCTCTGTCCCTCAGCATCATTCTGTTGTTGGAGACAGGGTCTCAATATGTAGCCCAGGCTGGCCTTGAAATCAGGGCGATCTTCCTGGCTCAGCCTCCTGAGTGCCCCTGCATGGGGTGGTATCACTGGTGTGGCATGTGGCATGAGCCCATGGTGTGTTCCTTGGTTTGCACTCAGCAGTAGCTGCTCTAGACACAGTGTCGCCACCTGATCTTACACACCGGTGTCCAGGGACTCAGGCCCTGAGGAACAGCTGTGGCCCCACAGTCTGAGCAGCATCCGTGCCCCTTCCTCCCTGGCTGGCCCCACTCCTCCTACCGTCTTCCTGCTGCAGCCCAGCAGTCATGTGGCCACACCCACCCCAGCTGTCCCTCCAGCTGTGCTGCCTCAGAAGCTCACCCGCTAAGGCTGCGGGACACTGCCGTCTGTGGAGGTGAGGTGGCCCCTCAACACGCACCTTCCATCTCAAATGGCAAAGACACTTCCTATGCCTGGTGAGGCCCGGCATAGCCCCGCAGCAGAGGGCATGTGGCTGTGCACAAGGCGTGGTGCACATGGCCTGCTGATCAGTGCCCTCTCCCCTGCATGTGTGCAGCCAGCCATCAAGAGGCACTGGTGTGCACACATCCGAGGCTCGAGCCATCGCCCCAGGCTTAGCACATGCACCTGTGGGAGGCTGGTGCTCTGCTGTGTGTGAAGGCAGCACTGGGGAGGAAGCCTGGCTGGACCCAAGGGCCAGTGACATCTCTGACAGAGGGGCAGTTTCCTCTGCATTTCCAATTTTGTGCAACGTGCAGGTTGTACATGCGGTACAGCACCAGGGCTGTACATGCAGAGTAAAGGGCAGGAGCATGCAAAGGCCACTTCTAAATCCCCGCAGCTGTCAGGCCCGTTTTTAGGCAGCGTGGCCCTTGGCTAGCATCTGGGACGCTCTCGGTGTTTGCTGCTGGTGACGGGAGAGAGGGCGCCTGGTCTCAGGCTGGGGTGCACTGTCAGTGCCCCGGGCACATCTCATGAGTGTCACCCTCAAGGGTGGAGAGTGAGGGGTCTGCGGCCTGGCCTGCTCTCTGGCCTCTGCTGTCTGCATGTGAACTGTGTCCCTCTATCAAGCCAGCCAGTGTGGGGATTGCAGGAGCCGTAACATAAGCAGCCACTTGATTCTGCCAAGCTTTAGATGGTGTTCTCAGGGCTGAAGAGCTGGGGAGGGCAGGCCTCGCCTGGGAGATGCCTTCTGCCAGGGCCTGAGTCCCACCCTCTGCAGAGGAGTGCACACGGGCCTCTAGGCTGGGTTCTGATCTGCTACCCTCAGTTGCCCTGCAGGATGCTCCGTGTGCGCAAAGGGACACCAGCCTGCAAGGTCACCACCAGCCAGTGGTACCCTCTTACCACTGCTTGGTGATATCAAACATCATGACCACCCCGTTACAGTTCTTGTACACATCCAGGAACTCGGCATCCAGGGCCATTTCAGACTCCGCCTAGGACAGGAAGAAGCGAGTATAAGACTGGGTCCCATCTATGTGGGCCTTCCGTCACCTGGCAGAGGCCAAATGGGACTGTTCTGATCTGAAAGGTGACAGCTGTCTCCTTTGGAAGGCAACAGGAAGAGAACCCTGCTGGGGGCCACAGGAGTGGCTGCTGGACGTGGGGCCTGGCCACCACTGAGCTGTAGACAAGTCCTACCCCGGGCTCATGAGCTCGTCACCATCCAGAACAGGGGAAGTGACCCGAAGACAGGTGCTAGAACCTTCTAGGGCACAGATGGGGCCAGAGGGCGGGTGCAGCACTACCCCTCCTGCACCCAAGAAGAGCAGAGAGGCTCTATGGACATGGAGAGGACGTAGTGCAGTGCCTGCAGCCAGGGAGCTGTGCTGGTGCTGGGCACGCGAGGCATGGCATTTTCATGCTGCCCGGGCCACTCTGGCTCATACTGGGGGTCAGTTCAATGTGCCGTCTGCCAAGCGAGGCAAAGGCAGGCATCACTCACGTGAGACAGGCAGGGGGCAGCCACCCTAAGAGTCACCCTTGGCTTGGGGTACTAAGCAGCTGGGGATAGCCAGTGGCCACCACAGTATGCAGAATGGGGACAGAAGGGAGCCCACGACAGGTAAGCAGTGGGGTCTGAAGGGCTGGCAGCGCTGGGTCAGGACGGGGCATGAGTAGCTGGATGCAAGGCTCACCTCCTGGGGGTCGTTCTCTGTCTTCAAGCCGTCACTTCGTTTTTTGCCTTTTCCTTATTAAATGACAAACAACAATTGTGGTGTGTGACTGCTAGGCCCAGGACTGCCTAAGGCCCCTCCCTGCCCCTTGGCACGCTGTGCTGGATTGTGTCCCATTCAGCTTTGAGAGAAAGGGGGAAAGGGGCCCTGACAGCGGCTGGACAGAAAGTGCAGGGTGAGGCTGGCGGGGCCTAGTGGGCACTGGACAGATCAGGTATGCCATGAGAGAAGCAGTCGCTCGAGATGGCCCGGCCCTCACAGCCCCCACAGACCTGTCCAGAGCAGGAGGGGCAGGAGCCGAGGTGGAGACCAGAGCCAGCAGTCCTGCTGGGGCTCAGGGGACACAAGAATGGACCACCGGAGGGAGACAGGAGGGCACAGAGCTGACCCAGCTGCAGGTGGGAGGGCGGTGTCACAGCCCCGCCCTGCCGGGTATTGGCCTTCAGGGTCACTCAGGCTCTGACCAGGGGACAGCCACAGCCCTGCTCTTGGGGATGGGGACTGGGTACCCTGCCCGCTCCTCCTTTCCATCTCTAGAATGCCCTGCTGGGCAGGGGATGCTGCTCGCCGTTGGAAACACAGCTCATTTACTTACAACAGCAGCCCGCAGCTCGGTCCCAAGCGTGTCTGAGCTCCTGGCTGCACTCTGCCCAGCCTGGGCGCCAGTCCCTACCCACCTCAGATGCAGTGGGTAGCCGCACTCAGGGGTCTGCCCGGCCAGCCACCTGCCTGCCCTATCCTCACCCCAACCAGCAGGACAGGAGCCCGGGGTTTAGAGGAAGTCAGAACTGCTGAGGCCGCTCCCAGGCACCCCCACTTCGAGGACATTTTCAACGAGTTTCCGCGTGCTCTTCCTCTACAGCCTCCTGCGCACAGCATGGTGTGCCCAGCCTGGCTCGCCTGTTGGCCCTCTCCCCTCAAGGCCCTCTGCTCTGCAGTCCTCAGATCTCTTCCTGCAAAAGGGGAACGAGGTGCCTTCCTTCCCATCAAACAACGACCAGGCAGCATCGGAGGTGAGGCTGCGGGACACTGGCAGGATGGGGACCTGTCCTTTCTGGGGTCCAGCCTGGTGCTGAGGGAGGCTCCCCAGATGGATTCTGGCAGGTGGCAGTGAGGGGCAATGCCAGGGAACTTCCTGGCCAGCACTGGCAACAGGAAGAGCACGCCCAGGGCTCCTGGGCAGGGGTCCCCACCTGGAGGCTGAAACCAAGATGCTTCTGGGCATCCAGCCCCCAACAGCCCAGGACAGGAAATCCTGCCATGAGGACCCCCACACGCTCTCGAAGGCGCAGACCAGAGCGGGGCAGGGGCTCAGGAGGTCACCACCATTCTAGGGCTGCAGCCCCTCTGCAGGGCACTGAAATGGGCCAGGGTGTCGGGAGGGCAGCCCGGCTTGAGTCATCTAAGGGGCCACAGTAGATGTGACTCCTGGCCTCAGAGCAGGGACAGTGATGGGGCCTCAAGTGAGATGTGACAAGTGACAGACACCGGAGTGCAGAGAGGGTGTGGAGCACAAGGCTGGCACCTGTGGCAGTGTGGGCCACAGGTACTGTGCTCCTGCTGCAACCACTGAGCAGCTCAACTGTCTGCCCAGCTGGCGCTCCACTGGGCCCTGCCCTCCCCCAGTGAACACACCTGGGACAGACACTCGCTCACCCTCCACCAGATCCACAGCTCCTGCCCAGGGAGGCCCCGGACCCGGGCACTCGTGCGGCACAGCCGTGCCTGGCCACGGACAGTTGGCAATGCCAGGCCAAGCAGGTGGGAGCTCTGGATCTGTCAGCTTGGAACTCAGGACAAAATGCACCCTACTCCACGGTGCCTGCTCATGCACACAGCTCTCAACCCAGAGTCACAGAGCAGGAGCCTGTGACCTACCACAACAAGACAGGACAAGGTCAGCTGCTGTCTTGCAACTTGCTGTAGGTTCAGGTCGGTGCTGGGGCTCACCGGAAGGGCCTGGGTCCTTGGAGGTGACCCCTGGGACACTGCAGGGATTCTCATCACTTATGCGACCTCAGCACCATCCTGAGCACAAGTCAGCTTTCTCAGACCAGAGTGGGCCCAGCCCCTAGCAGTGTCCAGCTCTGCCCCAGCCACCTTGGCCGAAGACGGCCACACACAGCCTGAGACTCCACTCCCTGCACGGGCTGTACACAGCCCCCTGACTGCCTCTTGGACACAGCGCCACACGTAGTACTTGAGCCTACAAACTAAGACTCCTTGTGGGAAGCCTACTTGGATAATGCTCTGGGCCCAGCAAAGGTGTTGGCCCGGAGGCTGGCCCCTCTCTCTGCCTAACTGTGTCCCTGCCTCCCGTGACCTGGGGACGGAGGGAGTCCTCCCAACTCATCCTCTATTCTTGCCCCCAGGTCTGCAGGTGAAACCTTCCCACTGTGGTGGTGCACTGAGCTTAGCCTTCCCTCTGAGTAACCAGGCAGGCATCAACTAGACAGGGGCCAGACTGGAGCCAGGAGGGCATGCGCAGCCGTGTAAACCAGCCTCCCGTGTGGCACGAGGCGTCAGCTGCCCACCAGGTGAAGCTGAACCCTCCACACCCTCAGGGCAGAGCCCGGGGCAGCTGGGGCTGCCGTGACAGGCACTGTCCCTGGCTGACAGACACAAGGGACTCCTCAAATGGCCCACGTGGCCAGAGGTCATGTACACCCACCTTGCAGGTGGCCAGCCCTCCAGGGCCGGGAATCAGGCTCAAGCAGCCCAAAGGTGGAGCCAGCAGGTCCACATCGAATGCCCACACCATCCTGCTCACTGGATGAGGAGAGAACTAACGAGACCCACAACCAAAATGCGCAGAGCAGCAAACCCAAGCCTTCCATGGCTGCACACGTGATGGGGCAGAGCAGGCCCCTGTAGGAAGCAGGGCCAGAGAGAGAAGCGAGACCACAGTAATGGGCCCAGGAAGGGAGAGTGCCTGCAGCATGCCAAATGCACCTCACCTTTGTCAACCACGTCCCAGACTTCCACTTTCACTATGTCGTCTGTGGCTGAAACAAGGGAAAACCTCCGATTAGCACCCAGTGTGACCCTGGGGTTCAGAGGGGTTCAGAGGTGCTGAGGGCCAGCCCTGGTGTCACTGTCTGCCCTCTCCCGAGCACTGGCCATGTGCAGGCCTGCAGGGGGAGCACTGTGTCTGGCAGGTCTTTGGAGAAGTTTGCTTTCCAGCTCACCTGAGCTACAGCTGCCCCAGGCCTATGCTCCAACATGGGCGGGGTTCATAGCTCCAAGTCCCAGATGGGGCTATTCACAATGATGACCCCGACATCCCTGAGTGCCTGTGGGAGCCTGGGGCGGGGCGGGGCCATGGGGAGCTGTGGGGAGTGGAGGCAGGGTACTCACTCTTGTAGCTCCAGTGGATGCTGGTGACCTGGATCTCCTGCGTGGGAATGTACTCTTCCACAAACTTCTCGCCCTGCAGCCGGTGCCAGAGCGCAGTCTTGCCCGTGTTCCTGTCTCCCCGGATCACTATCTTCACTGGAGTGAGGAAGGCAGGGAAGGACAGATCAAAGTCATCAATTAAGAAATAAGCTCAAAGGCACGTCAGCCCCACTGCCACAGGTTTGTGGTTTTTGTAGGAATCAAGCCCTGGGTGACTGGCGAGTAGGGGAAGAACTGGACGAGGGAGGCTGGCAGCAGCGGCCACTGCAGAACAGCCTCTCCCAGGCACAGGATGCCTGGCAAGAAGTGGGGCATCTGTGCTGAAAGGAGCAGCAGGGCCTGCAGGGGCTGCCAGGGGGTGCAGCACCAGACCTTCCTCCTGGCTGATCACACTGCAGCCCGGGGTGGCCTGACTTTCCCTGGGCCTACCAAGCTGGCAACCTGGCAAGGGTGGTGCACAGCTGTGCAGGGGGCTCACCCCACTCCACCCTCCTGTGTGCCAGGCTGCGCCTGAAGGGCCCACTGGCTTGAGGCAGGGCAAGCACAGACCCCAGTGACGGGACAGGAACCAGGCGGGTGGTTGTCCTGAAGCATCCCATGGCTTTGGGACAGGGCGACACGGGAGGGCAGTGTGGAGGTGAGGCACAGGGTTAGCAGAGATGGGAGGCGCCGGGCAGGTCTGGGAGGACTCTGTGTTCTCCCGAGGCCCTGTCCCTGAGCTGGGCAGCCCTGCGGGAGGGCTGGGGTGCTCAGGCCCCAGGCAAACCCTGACAGCCCCAGGCCATGAAGAGGGTGGACAGTGCCTCATGCAGCAGAGGCACAGTGGCCCCAAGACTTCTAGCAGGGCTCGGGCAGGTTCTAGGGAGCCGCGGGGCTCAGGAGAGGCAGGCCCAGGGCAGGATGGAGGGGTCTTCTCTCCCCTCTTTTCCCAGACCATCTCTTCTGACTGCTGCTGTGGAAGCCATGCCTTCCCACATCCTCCCATGGTACCTTGGACCTTGGGTACCAACAGCCAGTGGCCAGCTGGCCTCGACACTGAACAGGGCCTGGCAGGGCCCAGCCTGGGCCGTCTGCCTTCTCTACCGCCTCCCCACATCCCCAGTCCCACATTTAGCCACATGGAAGTGTCAGCTGTTCTCAGATTCAGGGACTCGCCTCCTCCACCTTCTTGATTATGTCACAGAACTCTGACAACAGCCTCACTTCCAAGGGCGTGTCAGGCCACCTTGATTCCGACACACTCTGGGAGCATCTCAGCCCCACCAGCCCCGGCAGGAAGCGTGTGGCTGATGGCACCTCCCACCAGTGTGCAGAGCTGCAGCCCAGGGGCCCCCACAGGGGATACAAAGACCCCTTGTCTGACCCCTGCCTTTCAGGGGTTACCTGCAGTCCATGACCCGGGCAGCAGGCTCCCCTTGTCCGCAACCAGCCACCAGCCAGGCCGATGAAGACCAACCTAATGTGCCGGTCCCCAGATCCTGCCGAAAGCAGGCCTGGCATCACTACCCAGAGGCTCCCAGAGAGGCCTCTCCTTCCCACCCTCCCTTCTTCCCAAGGAGGCCATGGGAGAGTGGAAAGCAGGTCTCTGGGACCGTGGGCAGCAGCAAGGTCAGACACAAGCACAGGGACCCAAGGGTGCCAAGGACTTCGGGTTTTCTTTGGGCCAGTTTTGACAAGTTTTCCAAGGATTTACCCAAAACATGTATTTTTCCCTCAAAACTTACTGGCATGATATTGTTTAAAACATTCTCTTATCTTTCTTTTGGTACCGGAAATCAAACTGAGGACCTTGCACTTGCCAGGCAGGTGGTGGCACCACTGAGCTAAACCCCTGGCTTGAATTCATCTCTTGCCAGACAAGTCCACACCTCCCTGTACCTCTGTTCTGTACTTCTGATTTCAGCCCTTGCTTCACCATCCGACCACTTTGCCTGAGCTTATTCCTCTTCTTGATTTCCAACTTTTTTTTTTTTTTTTTGGCTGTACTCCCCAGTTGAGCCTAGGCCCTTTGAGCTGCCTCTTTATTTTAGGACAGGTCTTGCTGAGCTGTTAAATTGCCCAGATTGGGCTTAAACTTGCAGCCCCTCTGCCTCAGCCTCCCAGAGTGCTGAGATTACAGGTGTGCGCTATCACACCCAGCTTAGAAGATCTTGACCTTAAAAAAAAAAACTTCATGTCTTTTAAAAAGCAGTTTTAAGGTCACAGCAAAATTGGGTGGGCTTTCCCACATGCCCTGCCCCACAGCCTCCCTGACTTTGGACATCCCTGAGAAAGGGTCCGTAGGACTGACACGTCATGGCTCCAAGGTGGTGCACATTGTGTGGGGTGACAGGTATACTCTGTAACGGCTCCAAGTGGAAGAGTTCCCCTGCCTCAATCACAAAGGATCCGTGCTGACACCACCAACCGGGGACACCTAAGTCAACTTTCCACCTGAGTTTTTGGACATGGGTGGTTCTGAGGGCAAACCCACTCAGGCCACTGTGCTTCTACTCTGGAAGATCTCTCCCTCCCAGTGCCAGGTCTGTGTGGGTGTCCAGGAGCTCACTCACTCCAGGACAAGACACCAGAAGGCAGCAAGCACCCCCAGGCAAAGTAGCGCTTCCTTCAGAAACCAGCCTGGGCCGAAGCCCAGCTCAGGACCAGCGCCTGCCTGAGGGTCACTGTCTCACTTAGGGTTCCTACTGTCCTCCAGGGCAGGGCCGCTCAGGTGCCATAATCACAGTCACACAGAGGCTGGGCACTGCTGGGATAGCACCCCAACAGGAGAAAACTGATTTCTGACCTTGTGATAGCTCTGTCCCTGAAGAAGGGCTAGCCTTTCCCTCCCTCCATTTGTTTCTGTGTGTGTGACCAGGGCTTCCCTGTGTAACTCAGGGTGACCCTGAAGTTGTAACCCTCCTGCCTCAGCCTGAGTCCTGGGACTGCAGGTGTGTATCCCGCCGGCACGAAGCCTTCCCATAGTTTTTATTTTCCTTATCTTATGCTGAGCTTCTGCATCCCAACGAGGAGCTCAGTGAAAGTGGGACAACCTTATCTTGGTCTGGATTGTTTTTGTTTTGTACCGGGGATTGAATTTAGGACCTTGTGCTTGACAGAGAGGCATGACGCCACTGAGCTACATTCCTGACCCTTGGTCTGGATTTGATTTGGTTTGATTTCTTTTTGGAGACAGGCTCTTGCTCTGTAGTTCAGGCGATGCTTGAAGTCACTATGTAGCCCAGGCTGGCCTCGTACTTGCAGCAATCCTCTGGCCTCAGCCTCCTGAGTGCTGCGATCACAGGCAACATCTTTAGCCCTTTCTTTTTTCCTTTTCTATTTATATCAATTTATTAAATGAATATTTCAAATTTATATAATAAATATTCATTACTTGAGTGAGGTTCATTACTTTTGTGACTATGTTCACAAATTAGGGACATTTTGCTTCTAATGGTGCAATCAATCTCACCAGTACTTTCAGCACTTCATATCTCAGGATTCCAACAGGGATGGCCCTTCCTTTCTTGAGAGAGGGTCTTGCTAGGTCACTACATTAGCCAAGCTGGACTCAAACTTGGGACCCTCTTGGCTCAGCCTCCCATAGTGTCAGACTGGAGATGTGTGCTACCACACCTGGCTAGGTTCTAAAGTTTGAAAATGAAAGTTGAAAGCTGGGAGCAATGGGACATAACCATAGCCCCACTTTCTTGGGAGGCTAAGGTTTGAGACCAACCTAGGCAGTGTGCAAATCCAATCCTGTCTCAGAAAAAAAAAAAAAAGCTGACTGTCATCGCAGAATGTGATCCTGATGAATACTCTCAGGTGTCTGCTGGGACTGTCAGGTTTCACAGCTGTTCTTGGTTTGAAAAGGACCGAGGCTCATGTAGACTACCGGGTTCTCTGATGAGTCTGCAGGGGCCTCCCCACTCTGACCTCTCCTTTCACCTGGAGGTGTGCTGCGTATGATGTCCCTACAGCTGGAGCGGACCTGAGTGTGGCTAGGCTGCCTTCTCGTGATTCATGCTGGACTTACCTAGTATCTTTTCCTGGCTCCTTGGTGCCACTGTGCCATTATTATCTGGATGTGTCTCTTAAGCACCATATGGACGAAGTAAGAAAAAAACCCAACCTTCTCTCTCACTTTGAACTGGGGAGACTTGCTTGATTACATCATTGTGATTGCCAAGAGATGTGGAATTATTTCTACTTCATTTCATCATCTGTATTTACCATCCTGGTTTCATCCCAGCTTTTAGTGCCTTTTATTAAGTTGGGCAAGAGTTTTCCCCTTCTTTTCAAGTGATGTTTATTTGGAAGAGTTGCAATCTATTTCTATTTTCTGAACAGTAACTCCTGAATTTTTAACATTCAGTTACTATAATACAGTCTAAAGTTATTAATTTTATCTTTCTCTTACATAACTTAAGGAATTCTGGATGCCTTAACTGTGATCCTGGGTTATGTGCTGATTTTCATTATGGAAATTATCGGTTTCTTCTCTTATCTTCCCTATGTAAATCATCATCACTAACTGACATCACCAATGCTCACTTAGATTTTACAACTTATTTTCTAATTCCTTTGGTCACCTTTGCTGTTTGAATACTAAACCTTTTCATCTGTCTAAAAACGACCCTTCTGTATTTATGTCTGCGAGAATCTGAATAGTAACTACTGTCACTTTGAGACTGGTGTAAGTTCAGCCATACTCGCTCTGGTGCCACTGCTGCACTCCATGCAGACTCCGGGCTGCTGTGGCTTCCCTGCAGGCTCCTGAGCTGCCAGCAGCTGTCACGGGTTCAGGGCTGCTTCCTTTTGCTATGGTTGCATTTTCTCATTTTCAAGCTCTGAAAACTTTCAGGGATGTGCCTCACAACTTGGACATTCTGGAATTTCGTGTAGCTCAATTGTGGAAAATCCTGTTTTCTTCAAGCACTGCTCCGTTTCCATTCTGGCTCTGCTTTCCTTCCGCATCTTGTCGAGACTGTGCTGTAATCTGCTTAATCACTCTGCCCCGCTTCTCTGCAGCTGGGTTATTGTGTGCCGCTTCACCTGTACACTTCTTATATTTCAATGATTAGGTTTTTCCTTTCCTGAAGGTCTCTGTCCTGGTGTCCTTAGCAAGCCAATACGGAGTTCCACAGTAACCATTTTCTCCTTTGGGAGGCTGCCCCACAAACACAGCTGATAAACCACCATCCAGCTGCAGTGGAAGGGGATGACTACTAGCTCAGGTGCATTTTTTCTTCTAGTTTATATGCAAATGAGCTCCAAAATGGGGCTATGATCCAATGTCTCATGGATTCTGATTCTAATTTGAAGGGTGGGCTGCTACTCTGTGCCAACGTGAGTTACTTCTTATTACCCTAATGAATTGAAAACCACTATGTGCCTCAAAAGGGTAACATTCTGTAAGAGACAACTTATAACAATAATTGCAACTTACGTATAAGAATCCTGGATCTAGGGCCGGGATTTAGCTTAGTGGTTCCACTGCCTGCCTTGCAAGCGCAAGGACCCGAATTCGATCCCCGGTACCAAAAAAACAAAAACAAAAACAAAAAAGAATCCTGGATCTACAAATATCACATTGCTAGTTGATTCCTTTAAGTAAGACATTTGGGAAAACAAGTATTAAAAATTTTCTATTCCACTAATACAGGAAATGAGAAAGCTTTAAAACTGCACATATATATTAAACTGGAGGCAACATCCCTCTAAAATGTAACTCAGATATGAACTGAAATTTCTCTGGACTCACCACTTAGTTCTAGGAGATCATCACAAGTCTCCCAAATACTGAAGACTGGATTTATTATTCAGGAACAACTCCATATCCCTTTTTAGTCCCTCCTGCCCAGGAGCACAAGGGGATTGGCAGAAAGTGATCAGTTTCTACTTCAGATCTAATTTCCAAGGCTCTGGGATTCGATTTCAGGTAACATTGTAAATAACAAAATTAAGGAATTCAAATGTTCATCCCAAAGATTTGTGTATAAGTGAGTATCTTGCCCTAATATTTCCACAGACGAGAAAATTACAAACAAAATTTCAAGTTAAAACATCTAAAACGAGTCTTTTTATACCTGAACGAAAGTTTTTCTAATCAATTTCGTAATATTTTCATGGAAACATCACGGACGAACCAAGGCTCTTGGTGAGCAAAGCCTGTGTATCGGTGGGGGTGTGTGCGTGGACGATATCCTAGCAATACAGGAAAACATTTGAGAGGTAAACAATGTCAGAACAAAGGATAACACGAAAGCCTTCAGGTCCTGCTAGAAAAGAATCTGCAAATGGAAAGAGTCAAAAGAGGTCAAGAGGACAGCCTGCAACTAAGAGCTGCACAAGGTACATAATTTATAAGAGGATGAAGCCGCCTGTGATCCGGTGTCCGCACACAAACCCTCCATCCCGCAGGGTCAGGGATGTCTCCTACCATCTCAAGAGTCTGTGCCTCTGGGAGCTTTTCTAAATATCTATTACAAATCGTCAAGAACGAAAGGCGTTGCAGCTACTTTGTGTTCAAACTGCGTAGGAAATCAACAAAGCCTCGCTCCCCCCCCCCAGGAGGCGGGTTTCTCGCGTCTCCGAGTGAGCGCACAGCTCGGGGGGGGGGGGGGCGGCGGAGGCGCGGCGCCTGAAAAGCCCAGCCTCAGACCCCAGCGCCCCCTCCGTACCTCCCTCCCTCACGTTATGTAATGGTCCCTCTACGGCGTGGCCTCCCGCGGCAATCAGGGCCCCTATCGCCGCCGGGGCAGCGTCACCACACAGCATTTCTCCGACGGGTACCTGTTAGGCGAGGTCTCTCTGGAGTGACCCGCCGTTTGGGAACTGGCGACGCCCACCCCAGCCCTGGGTTCCTCCAGAACGCTTCCCGCGCGGGGTCCATCTCGGGAGCACCGCCAACCTGGCCCTGTGCGTCCCGGCCCCTCGGGCCCGGCCCACTGCTCCCGCCTGGCTCCCGGGCCGCCCGACGGCGCGAGCCGCACTCACTGTTGTACTGCACCCCCTTGGCAAAGCGTCTCTGCAAAGCCTGGTTCATGGACTGCAGCCCGGCGGGGATGTTCTTGTCCCGGCCCGGGGCCTGCTCCGATCCCACTAGCTTCTTCAGCGCGGAGAACATCTTCCCGCTGCACGTCTGCGCCGGGCGCGGCCCGCGAGCTCAGCGACGGCGGTGGAGCGGCGTGCCTCGCACCATGACGCGGCGGCCCGGGCTGGCCCGAGGCCGAAGCCTGTGCGGCCGCAGGCCGGGGTCGCGGCGGCAGGCTGAACCTCGAGCGGCTCTGGGGGCCTCAGCCGCGGCGGGCCCGCTCCAGCCCCCGCGGCCCCCGGCACGGCCTCCGACGACTCGTCAGCGCCGCCATCTTGGCGCCGGCGCGGCTACGGGGCGCAAGGAGGGACACCTTCGTTGGCGCATGCGCAGTGGGCGGTGCGCCCCGCGGCCCCTCCCCTCTCAGGTCCCGCCCACGGGGGCCCAGCTCCTCCCCTCCCTTCTTGGGGTTGTGCCAGTGTTCCTGGAAAAATGTTTATTTGTGAAACAAAGCGCGGGCGGGACTATTTCTTCTTCTTCTTGGGCACCTTGAGTTTGCCCTCCATCAACCCCTGGGCTTGCTTCTTGATCTCGGCCCGCGAAAGGATGTAGCTGTGGTCCATGTGGGCAAACTGGAAGCTTTCTGCACGGAGCGGGGGAGGTTCGCGGCGTGCTCCCGCATCCCGTCCCCAGGTGCTTGCTTGATCCAGTATGGCTCGGCTGCCGGGCACAGGCTGCCCCGTCCCGACTGACCCAGCCTTAGACACGCAGGGGTCGGGCGCCCTTCCAGCCACCGCTCCCCGCTCCGAGTCCCCAGACCCGGGGACCAGGCGAGCAGGGCCTGCCGGAGCCGCCCACACTGGCCAGTCCTCCGCAGCGGTCCTGCTCCGCTTTGCTGCAGAAGCCCCAGCGAAGGCTCTGGTCTGGCCTTCCCTGCGACCCCTGTCATGTGTGCCCCTCCTCCCAGCATAGTCAGTCTCAAATTGTTTCGATGGCTTTAGCCTCTGCAAGTCATCACCAAGTCATCTCCACTGATTGAAACCCTTCTGGGTCCCTGTCGCCCTCACTGTCCCTCCAGGATGTCGTGGTCAAATGGAGTAGGTGCCGTCTCCGCCCTCTGCAGCTCAGACTTGTGACTGTTCTGGCTGTGGCCCCGGGTTCCTTCCCTATGACCTCACCTATCATGTCCTCCTCCAGGTCCTCAAAGGCGATCCTGGTGTTGTATCTCTCCTTTAGCATCGAGGATTCCAGGGCATCCTTCACCTTGGTGCTGATCTGCAGGGCCATGTCCTCGTCAGTCAGCTCAGAGGGCACCGAGCTGTGTGGATGTCCCCCAGCCCAGGGCTACCTCCTCGGTCCTGGACAGCGCCTGCAGTCCATCAGCCAGGTATGTGAGTTTTCTCTCGCAGCAGGCCAGTTTGCCGTGCACATCAAAGATGTCAGAGGGCATTGGTTCTTTCTGCAGGCGGGAGGCACAGTCTGGTCTCCCCTCTGGTTCAATCCAGGGACCCTGTGAGTGCCGGCTCCTCCCCACTCAGTCAGTACCTGGCTGCCAGGCACGGTGATGCCAATGAGCTGGATGTAGAGGTTATCTATGCCTGTCTGGACGGTCAGCAGCAGCTGCTGGCTCTTGGTCATGTTGCTGTGGGCCAGCTGGAGCCTTGCCTCCTCCTCTTTCAGCATGTTGCTCATCTTTTCCTCAATGGACTTAAAGCTTCGGGGGACGAGGGGACACAGGGATGAAGGCGGCACAGCTGCCAGGGCCCAGGGAGGGGTAGGAGGCCAGGTCCTGAGCCGGGTGCTGTGCGAGCCCAGAGGCTCCAGCTCAGGTGCAGGCAGATGGGTCCCTTGGCTCCTGCAGAGATGCCCAGCTTTGATGGTGGTGAGCTCCCATGTGGTGCCAAGGGGTGCCCGGGGGGCCGGCAGCCTGGGAGCTGTGTACCTGATGGAGCTGGGTGTCTGGCCGAACTTGAGCAGCGCCTCCTCGAGCTGCAGCTTCTTTATCAGGGCCCCCAGCTGCGCCCGCTGGTCCTCACAGTCTTCCATTCGCAGCTGCAGGTTCTCCTCGGTGTTCTTCTGGGCCAGGAAGCGGCCAGCGATGTCCTAGGCAGAGAGAAGCAGTGGGGGTCAGAAGGCGGTGGGGGCCAGGGCCTGTGCGGCTGTCTGTACAGGGGCTCAGTGTTGTTGACCACTGCCCAGTATGTGGATTGGGAGGGGCCAACCACAGCTCCCCCCATTACTGGGGACTGAACTCATGGCCTTCACACTGAGTTATACCCGTTGCTTTATTTTTTATTTTGACAAAGGGTCTTGCTAAGTTGCTAAGTTGCCCAGGCTGGGCTCAAACTTGTGGTCTTCCTGCCTCAGCCTCCCAGAGAGCTGGGATCACAGGTGTGGCCAACACACCTGGTGGCACAGTGCCTGATGTGTGTCATGGTCTGCGACCATGGGCAGAGCATAAAAACCCCACCTGCGGCCATGGGGACCAAGCATCGGCTTGAGTCACTCGACCTGGGATGGACAAGTTCCAGTAAAGGCCATGGATGGGAGTTTAAGGCCCAAATAACAATAAACCTGGGAGGGTTAAAGTAAAAAGGGCCTGGTGAGAGGCAGCTGCTCACTGTGGCTGCCTGGCTGGGCAGGCCTGGGGTTGCAGGAAGAAGCCACACCCTTAGCATTTGGGTCCTCAGGTCTGGTGCTCCTCCCCGCCTGGGAGCAGCCAGCTGAGGTGCACCCAGGGGCTAAACTTCCTGTGTCCTTTTCATCCCTGCCCCACCCCTGGCTAGAGCAGGAGCCTCACCCAGAGGTGGGAGCACTGTACAGCAGACTTGACCCTGTCCACCAGGGCAGTCACAGTGGCCTGGTATTGGGTGTCCATTTCAGAGGCCTCTTTTCTCTTCACTGGGCAGAGGGGAGAGGAAGTGGCAGTCAGCACTCGGGGATCACCATCGGACACCTCTCCACACTTGCAGCCATGGAGGAGGCCACCGAAGAGCTGGGCACCCTGGGTCACCTGCCCCGGGGCTGCTACCTCCTTAGCTGGGGGAATCCCAGGGCAGAGGACGAGGACAGCATGGCACTGGGCTGCCCTAGGAGTCACTGGCGAGGCCTGGGGCCACAGACGGCCTCTCTGCAGCCACTCAGCCATGGGCTCTCAGCCTCCGCAGGGGCAGTGGGGGACAGTCTCCCCCACCCTGGTGGCCACAGGGTGCAGCTGTCCTCATGGTGGCCTGACGACGGGGTCCCAGCCAGGGCCAAGCTCTAGAGACCCGGGCTGGGGACAGGCCGAGGGCTGAAACTCACTCAGGAAGTCTGTACTCATACTGCTCTTGGGGAAGTCCAGGTCCCTGTGGCCCTGATGGAGAGAGAGGGTGAGGCCAGGGTGAGCAAGCGCTGGACAGGAGGGGCCTCCCCCTGGCCTCAGTGGCCTGAGGCGCACCCGGCAGAGCTTCTCGCTGGCCTCCTTGGTGTGGATCTTGTCGATGAGCTGCTTATGCTGGGTGAGCCGGTTCTCCCGTGCCCTGCGTTCCTTGATGAAGGTCACTTCCCCTTGCCTCATGTTCCTCTGGAAACACAGGGATGTCACAGAGGTGCTGGCTCACCAAGGCCCCTCCTGGTCTTAAAGCTGTGGTCAACTTTCAGTCCTATCTTACTAGATTGTGGAATGGGGTCTGAGGCTCTGGCCACGCCCTTCTGCCCACAATGCTCATGCCCCACTGTCCCCCTGGGGGTTCCTCTCTGCCTGTGACCAGGGGCTCCACTGGCACAAGCCCATGACCTTGTTCTGGAGCCCTGGCTTTTTGCTGCCCTCCAGTCCCCTTCCTGAAGGTGCCTGCTGGCCTGCTCCACTTCAAACCCGTGAAGTGGACTGGACACCTTAAAAACAGACTCAGGCCCAGCCCTGAGGCCTGTTCACTTCCAGCTCACCCTGCTTTGGTCCTGGACGCTGCTCTCTCCCGAGCCATTCCCAGCCCCAGCACTCAGTGGGTGACTCCTCTGCTCTCTCCACTTCCAGCCACCCTACTCCAGCACTGCCTGCCCCAAGTGGCCAGCATTGGGCCCTCCAGCCCTGCAGCCAGAGCTCGCCATTTTGAAGCTCGACTCTGATCGTCCTCCTCCATCTTCCAAATCAGAGGACCCTGCTGTCCCACCTCGACTGCTATTCCTCTGCATCCTTTTCTGCTCCAGCCACGTGAACCTCTGTGCTCCAAGTGCCTTTTGGTCCCCTCTCTTCCCCAGCACCTGACCTCAGCTGAGCCAGCCCGAGCCCTGTGATATTTCTTCAGCAAGGTCTGCAGTCCCCCAGCACGTCACAGGGATCACAGCACATGGCTCAGAGGGGACCCTGTGGCCAGACAGGTCCGGAAGAGCTCGTGGTGGGGGCTCAGCCTGAGCCCGAGCTCACCTTGACCTGGTCCGTAATCATCACGGCGTCTTGGGACAGGACCGTCATGTCAGACGCCTCCGCGCTGGAGCTGACCACCCGGTTCTGCAGCTTGCCCAGCACCACAGGGTACCCTGCCAGCACCTGCTTGGGCAAAGCAGGTGGGCATGGAGCCGCGGCAGCCACGTGCCAGCCTCTCTGACCCCTTGCAATTGTCTTGTGGGCCCTGCACCGAGTGGACTCTGCCCTCCATGCCTCACCCCACATGAGCCCCAAGGACTGTGATGGGTCTGGCCAGGCATAGGGCAGATGACAGGGTGGCCTGGTGGTGCCAGCCCGGGTGTCCCTCCCATGGCCCAGCCAACAGCCCAGAGGCTTACCCCACCCCACACCCAGTGCTGGAACTTGAACCCATGGCCTTCACACTGAGCTACATCCCCAGCCATTTTTAAGTTTTTCTGTTTTGAGACAGGGTCTTGTTAAGTTGCTAACTTGCCAAGGCTAGGCTTGGAACTTGTAACCCTCCTGCCTCAGCCTCCCAGAGTATCTCGCCTTGCTAGGGACAAAAGAGGTTGTGATGAAATTAGTATTCTACCCCGGCAAAGCTGACCCTGAAACTCAGGATTTAACCAGGGGAGCTTTGGACTGCTGTGGGCTCAGATGTGGGCTTGGCATCAGGGAATCAGAGGTCGAGGCCGAGGGCACTTGTGACTGGCCAGCTGTGACCTGGGGAGGCCCCTACCCTGGCTGAGCGCCCCACCTGTAGAAAGGTGATCCCGGCCTTTTCAGAAAGTTGCCGTCAGATCAGCGGAGACTCTGAACAGAGCGTTGAGCGCAGGGCCAGATGTGTGTGACTTGGCTGTTAGTATCTTGTGGTTAATAACTACAAATGCTGAGTCCTCGCCAGGTTTTTGTAAAACGTGGATGACCAGGGGATTTCTAAGTGTGTGTACTCTGAAGAGGAGGTGCCAGCTCTGGCACACACCAGGAGAAGGAGGCGTGGAGAGGGTACAGGTCAGAGGTGAGGTGGCTCGAGGGCCAGGGGCCTCCAGGGACCAGGGTCTACTGGGTTCTGCCTGGCTCCTCCACAGGGGCTGGGGAGGGCAGCGGGCCGGGTGCCCAGCAGACCCTGAAGTTGTGGGAGGGGCTGTCCTGCACCAGGGTGTTGTGGCCGCAAAACACCATGTGCTTTTTGGGATTTGCAAAAATGCAGCTTGTCTTTTGTGTGTGGTACTGGGGATCGAACCCAAAGAGCTCGCTACCACTGAGTTACACCCTCAGCCCCCTTTTTATTCTTTGAGAGAGGGTCTCCATGAATCGCCCAGGTGGGTCTGGGACTTGTGGTCTTCCTGCCTCGGCCTCCCAAAGTGCTGGGATGACAGGCCTGCCCAGCACACCCTGCTAAAAATGCAGTCTTCAGAGTTCCCACGTGCTTCTCTGGGAGCCTGGAGGAGGGCGGCAGGCCTGGGGTGGCCTGCGGGGAAGCTCCCAGGAGCGCTGCCTGACACCCTGGAGCAGGAGGGCCACACCTTCTTCAGGTACTCCAGGAGGTCCACGTACAGCAGGCGGATGTTCTGGCTGGTGGTGATCTTGATGTTCGTCTTTTCGATGCTGTTCTCCAGCTGGCGGATGACCTGGGGCGCGCGCGGAGGCCTCAGAGCACTTGGGGACGTCACCGACGCAGGCATGCAGAGACGGCCCCGCCCCCTTGGGGCAGCCCCCCCACCGTGTCCCCGGCCCCTGAAGCCCATAGGCCTCTGCCTCCCTCGAGAGCCCCGCCCTATGCCGTGGCCCCTCCCCCGCAGAGCCCAGCTCCTCGCCTGGCTCCGTCCCACCTGCAGCAGCCGCGCCTCCTCCTTGGTGGCCTCGGGCTGGCTTCGCAGGCGCGTAAGCTCCAGCTGCAAGCTCTCCAGCCGCTCTCCACGCCGCCGCACCGAGTGGATCAGCGCGTTGTGCACGTTCACGCGGTCGAAGACGTACTTGCGCAGCTTCTCCCGCGCCACCTGGTGGGGCGTGCTTGGGTGATCAAGCGGTGCCGCGGGCCTGGGCGGGACGCCAGGCTCCCCTTGCGGACCCCCAGCACCCTCGGCCACCTCCGCGTCGCCGTCGAGCGGTACCTCCATAGTGCTGCGGCCGTGCGCTAGCCTCAGGGGCACGTCCTTCCCGCAGGCCTTGGCGATGGCGCGCTGGTCGTACTGCGGGAGGCACGCAGTCAGCCGGGCGCCTCCCCGGGGGCGCTTCTACCCCAGGCAGGAGCCCCGCTCCTGGAGCCACTGCAGCAGAGCGGGGGCGGGCTGGGGGTCCGGGGAGCAGGGCCCCGGGTCCCCGAGCGGGCGCCCAGCTGCAGGGAGCCCAGCGTGCTCCTGGCCCGGGGAGATGGGGTCTGCGCGCGCCCCTTCCGCGTGCCGCCGCTTCCCGGCTGCGGGAAGGGCGGGGCTTGGGCACCTTCTTGGCCGAAGCCCACTCGTGGGCCCCTCGGCGGATGTTGCTGCGCAGTAGGCCCAGCGTCGCCTTGTTCTGCGCCGTCTTCTCCTTCATCCCCTGGGTCTGGAGCGCCCGACATTGCTCTGTGGGCAGTGGGAGGAGGCAGGGTGACCGAGTTGTGGGTCCAGGGCCTGGCCCTGTGTGGGAGGCCAGGAGGACCGGCTTCAGCTCCCGCTTCTCCTCCACTTTGCCTGAAGCAGGCGTGCACCCTACTGCTCTCCAGGGCTCTCAGTGGAGGGGATTAGGGCAGGGGAGTGAGGCCTAGGTGGCCCCTTCCTTGCCCCTTCAGCCCTGGAGCCTGTTGCTCTGGTGACCACACATCCTTTCAAAGCTCCTCCGCCGTACAGCCCCCTTCCCGGGGCCGTCCCTGGGCTGGGCGTGGGGAGTAGGATGGCCAGTGTCCTGGTGTTGAGCCTGAAAAACTTGCGTCAGGAGCCCCTGATCGGGGTGGCCGGGGCGAGGTCCCCAGCATGAGGCTCACCCTGGAGCCGAGTGATGGTCTTCAGCTCCTGTACTTGTCCCTCCGTGTTTGCCTCCTTGTGCACCTTCATGGTGGCCCGCAGGATCCCTGGGGAGGCCCTGTGCACCCCTCACCTTCCCTGTGGGCTGCCTGCTCCTCAGAACAGGTTGTCCCTAGAATTTTGGCCCATTGTGATGGACCGGGTTCTCAAGGCCAGGAACCCTGGATTCCGGCCCCTGTGGCCTCAGGGTCGCTCTGGCTGTTTGCTCGTGGAGTGGGCCATGTCGTGGCCTCAAGCTGCACAGGAGCTCTGCTGGGACCTGGGCCCCTCTCCTTGGCAGAGGTGATGGCTCCGCGTGGGACCCTGCACCGTCCGCATCCCCTCCCCTGCCCCACCAGTTCCACAGAGCACTGGGAGGAGCCTCCCCAATAGGTCTTTGTTTGTAGGCCTTTATTTCAGAGTCTGCACCCTGGGTGACCAGGCTGACACCCACAGTGCCACAGCTGGACGTCTCTTTCCACTCTTTCTGCTGACCTTGTCCTGCCTGCCGGGCCTCACAGCCCTCTGCATTCTAACCCCAGGAGGGGAAGATTTGGGCTCCACAGGACACCCTGACCTGCTTTGGGTGTCCTGCCACGCCGCTGTGACGGCACCAGGGACAGACCAGGCTGGTTAAGGCCTCTTCCTTCCGACCGCAGAGGCTGGCTTTCCCGTGTCCCCGAGGCGGCACCCCGAAACCTCATTTACCCTCAGTTGCCTCCAAACAGCCACATTCCGCCTTGTGGGTTGGGACCTGGGGCCACCACCAGACCTCGGTGCACACTGCCAGACGTGGACACGCTCCTCCCCCGTCATTTCCCAGGCAGTCAGAACCCGAGTGCACGCCTGCCACCTCAGGCCCTGCCCTCAAGGGACTGGAAGGACCTGCTGTGGGCACGGTCTGCCCACCTCCCTTAGCTCTTGGGGATCCAGCTGGGTGCCTGGCCGAGCAGAGCCTACCTGCTGACCCCCAGTACTGGCTCCCCTTTCTCCCTCACATATAGATGCCCAGGGTTTTAATGGGATGACACATGGCAGTACAGACGAAGGCTGCCTTCCTGGAAGTCTTTACAGTAAATGTGTGATGGGGCCTAGTTTTGGCTCACAGTGTATAAGCAGGAATGGTGGCCGAACTGCCCTCCTCCTCCTTTATTCTTCCTATTAAATGGCATGAAGACAACAATGGTTGGGCTGCTGCAGCCAAGTGCAACCATGAGGTGGATTTGGTGTGGGCCCCAGCACAGTGAGTCACAGACTCAGAGGAGACGGGTCCCTGACTGGGTGATACCCCTGGCCGACTGCTGCGGTTTGATCGTGGTCTGCTCTCTATGCTGGGGAGTCTTAATTTCCACTGGGAGGCATTAAAGTGGAAACTTACTGTGTCGGTGTTCAGGAGTGGGAGGAGGTGAGGGTTTGATAAGGGCCCACTATTAAATGCTAGAGGCTTTATAAAGAGAGAGGGGTTGGAAGACAGACACACGTGTGCTGTCTCTGGACATGTGATGCCTGTGCCACCTCCAGACTGCCAGCAAGGTGGCCATCGCCAGCTGGGTTGGTGGCACATGTCTATAATCTCAGCACTTGGGAGGCTGAGGCAGGAGGATCTCTGTGTGTTTGAGGCCAGGCTGGCCTACATGGTGAGTTCAAGGCCAGCCTGAACTACATAGTGAGACCCTGTCTCAAAAAAACCCAAAAAAACAAAAGCAAAAAGTAAAAGGCAGCAGCTATCATCAGATATAGCCCTGGACCGTGGACCAGAACCTCCAGGCAAAGTGAAGCCCTTTCCTCGATAACTCGCCCAGTCTGTTGTGTGCTGTTGGCAACAGAAAGCAGACTATCAAAACTTGAACTCCAGCATGCTTGAGCTGCCGGTATCACGGGCCTACGTTCTTGCCTTTCAGAGGATGTCCCTCTGAATGATGGGCAAGGCCAGGCTGAGTGTGGAGCTGAGGGTGGCCCTTCAGTGCCCCTGGGACGCCAGGGTGTGGACAGCCTCTGGTCCTCCTCTGGGGCTGGATGCTGTGGGTGTGGCCCACTCAGGGCCTGCCTGTGGTAGAGCTCTGCTGGTCACTGTCCAGGAGAGGGGGGGATCTGGGAGAGAAGCAGGTGGGTGTGGCCCCCATAACTCTGGGAGCCAGAGCCAGGTTCTGCCTGCCGCAGCCCTCTGCTCTGCCCCTCAGCCCCGTGGGTCAGACAGAGCCCCCCACCCGACCCCCTGTGGTCTCGCACAGCCTCCAGGCCCAGCAGGGATGTCCAACTCTGGGCTTCCCCTTCGGGAACCCCCCTGTACCTCCTGTGGATCAGCTGATGGTCATAAAGGTGATACCTGATCTCTTACCTCCTTGGTTGTTTCTCAACTGCTTTGGAGCTCAGGTGGGAAGCAAGACAAGCTGTTTATTACCTGACACCTCCAGCACCAGCTATGTCCTTGGGCTTGCTGGGGAGGAGAGAGGGGGCGGCCACAGTGCCTGAGAGGGTGCACAGTCGTGTCCACCATCCACAGGCTGCTGCCTCCACAATATGTGCAGCAGGACACAATCCTCTAGGGCTCCAGTGCTGACCCTAGGAGAATCCCCTGCCCCAGCCCTGCCAGGCCTTTCTGAGCCAACCTGGGCAGGTCCAGGCTGTGGGCAGCAGCAGCAACAGCGGGTGTTAGGCCTGGCTGTGTGTGACGTGGTCTGGAGTCTGGAGTGCTGAGGACTGTGCTCCTGGACTCCGCACCCAAATCTGCTCCCTGGCTGCAGCTCTCCTATCGGGGCTGACCTATAAGAGGAGAAGGGAGACAGCTGGAACCATGTCCATGCCTGCTTAGGGTCCCTGCACTCAAAAACTGGGGCCCATATCAAGGACAGCAGGCTTGGGACCCGTTAGCTGATGTGGGGTGCGGGTCTTGGGGGGATTACTCCTGGGTGCCCAGTTCCTTGCTCTTTCCTCTGGGTCACCCCAGCCCCGTGCTGTGCCCACTCCCACTGCAGCCCTCCAGGATGACAGGCAGGGGGAGGGTCCTGTCCAGCTTGCCACTTAGATCCGCTGGGCTTGACTGCCACAAACTCCAGGTGCTGGGGCCTCAGCATTCTCATCTCACTGCTCCCCAGGCCCCCTCACCTGTGCCCATGTCTTTGGGGAGCTGCCCTGTCTCCAGAAAGAGCCAGAGGTTGCTGCATTTCTGCGACTCCACTCTGGTCACCTTGTAGCTGGCCACAGAGCCTGCAACTGGGAACCAGGAAGCAGGAGGCTAAGGCCACTGCTTCTTGGGTGAGGCTGGGTACAGGCTATTTATAGCAGTCATGACAGATGGGCTTGGGCAGGGCTCCCACGGAAATGGCAGCTCCACACCAGAGGCAGGGCGCCCCCCATCCTCGGCAGAAACCCACCCCGAAGACCAGGCCAGGGCCGGGCACCCGCCCTGGAGAACCCACCCATGGCCACCAGGATGCTCCACTGCATCGGGTAGGGAAACTTTCTCTGGATGAGAGTCTGCAGGCCGAAGGTCCCGGCGGTGCCTGCAGAGAGCCAAGGTGCCCAGGTTAGCCTGCCGCAGGGCTGGCGGGGACCGCCGGGGTGCCCTGCGTGCACCTGCGGGTGAGCGGGCGGGCAGGCGGGGGACCCGGCACCACCTGCTGGGGAGCGAGGGTGAGACAGGAGGGCGCGTTCTCCGTCCCAGGACTCCTGCAAGAGCCTACCTGCCAGGAAGGTGAGCACGCCCTTCATGAAGGCGTTGGACTGGCACGCGGCGTACTCCTCGAGTCCCTAGGATGGGGGCCAAGGCTCAGTGCCCGTCCCGCCTCCCTCCCCGGCCTCCTGTCCCTCTCGGTGACAGGTGACGGTGACAGCCTGGGCTGGACGCGTTCCACTTCCCCAACCCCCTCAAGATGTGGCAAGAGGGCCCGCTCGCTCCTTCTCCCTGCTCAGGCCAGCTGAGGCCCCGGCCCCTCGTCCTAGGGTGGCCTTCTCACCGGGTGCTTGGCGGCTACAGCATCGTCCACACGGGACAAGCCCAGGTTCACCATGGCTGGCCGGGGCGGAGCGCGCTTGCGCAGGAGGGGGCAGAGAGGGGCGGGGCCTGAGCCTGGGCGTGGCCCAAGGCGGGGGGGGG